CCACATCTTTCTTGTAATGAGGCGACCAGAACTGGACACAATACTCCAGATGTGGCCAAACCAGTGTTTTGTATAGCTGGAGCATAACTTCACAGCTCTTGAACTCGATCCCTCTATTAATGAAAACTAACACACCATACGCCTTCTTAACAACTCTATCCACCTGGGTGGCAGCTTTCAGGGAACTGTGAACATGAACCCAAGACCCCTCTGCTCCTCCACACTGCCAAGAATCTTTCCGTTAACCCTGTATTCTGCTTTCAAGTTTGTCCTTCCAAAATGAATCACCTCACACTTTTCAGGGTTAAACTCCATCTGCCACTTCTCAGCCCAGCTCTGCATTCTATCAATGTCCCTTTGTAACCTAGAACAACCCTCCGCACTATCCACAACTCGACCCACCTTCGTATCATCCGCGAACTTACTAATCCACCCTTCCACTCCCACATCCAAATCATTTACAAAAATCACAAATAGAAGAGGACCCAGAACAGATCCTTGTGGTACACCACTCGTAACTGAGCACCATGTTGAATATTTTCCGTCCACTACCACCCTTTGTCTTCTAAGGGTCAGCCAATTCTGAATCCAATCTGCCACATTGCCCCCCATCCCATGCCTCCTTACTTTCTGCATGAGCCTACCATGGGGAACCTTATCAAACGTCTTGCTTAAATCCACATCCATTGCTCTATCTTCATCCACGTGTTTGGTCACCTCTTCAAAGAATTCAATAAGGTTTGTGAGGCATGATCTACCCCTCACAAATCCATGCTGACTATCATGAATCAAACTGTGCCTATCCAAGTGATCATAAACCCTATCTCTCAGAGCCCTTTCCAATAATTTGCCCACCACTGAAGTAAGACTAACTGGCCTGTAATTTCCGGGGTTATCCCTATTCCCTTTTTTGAACAAGAGAATGACATTTGCCACTCTCCAATCTTCTGGAGTATACTCATGGACAGTGAGGACGAAAAGATCATCGCCAAAGGCCCTGCGATCTCTTCCCTCACTTCCCATAGAATCTTTGGATAAATCCCATCAGGCCCGGGGGATTTATCTATCTTCAAGTTCGTCAAAATTCCTAGATCTTCCTTACTAACATCCACCTCCTCTAGCCTACCAGCCTGTTTCACACTGTCCTCCCCTACAACCAGATCCCTCTCAGTTGTGAATACCGACGGAAAGTATTCATTAAGGACCTCTCCTATCTCTTTAGGCTCAGTGCACAAATTCCGTTTACAATCCTTGATCGGCCCTACCCTTTCTCTGGTAATTCACTTATTCCTCACGTACGTGTAAAAAGCCTTGGCGTTTTCTTTGATCCTATCTGCCAAGATTTTCTCATGCCCCCTTATAGCTCTCCTAAGCCCTTTCTTCAGCTCCTTCCTGGCTAACTTGTATCCCTCTACAGCCTTTTCTAATCCTGGTTTCATAAACCTTATATAAGCATCCTTCTTCCTCTTAACCAGTCCTTCGACCTCTCGAGAACCACGGCTCCCTCACTCGACCACATCTTCCCTGCCTGCTATGGACAAACATATTGAGCACACGCGGTATGCATTCCTTAAACAATCTACACATTTCTATAGTGCTCTTCCCTGACAGCATCTGTCCCATTTTATGTTACCCAGTTCTTGCCTAACAGAATTATAATTACCCTTCCCCCAATTATAAACCTTACCCTGCTGTATGTACCTATCCTTTTCCATGGCTATTGTAAAAATAACAGAGTTATGATTGCTACCGCCAAAATGCTCTCCTACCAACAGGTCTGACTCTTGGCCCGGTTCATTGCCAAGCACCAAATCCAAAGTGGTCTCTCCTTGTGTTGGTCTATCTACATACTGTGTCAGGAATCCTTCCTGAACGCACTGGACAAAATCCACTCCATCTAAACTATTACAACTAAAAAGTTTCCAATCAATATTTGGAAAGTTGAAGTCACCCATGACTACAACCCTGTGACTTCTGCACCTTTCCAGTATCTGCTTCCCAATCCGCTCCCCGACTTCTCTGCAACTATTAGGGGGTCTGTAAAAAAAAAAACCCTTAAAGTGACTGCTCCTTTCTTGTTCCTGACCTCAACCCAAACTGACTCTGCAGACATATCATTCTCGAACTGCCTTTCAGTAGCTGCTATACTAGCCCTGACTAGCAATGCCACTCCGCTGCCTCTTTTACCACCCTCCCTATTTCTTTTAAAGCATCTAATTCCCAGAACTTCCAACAACCATTCCTGTCCCTGAGTTACCCAAGTTTCTATAATGGCCACAACATCATAGTTCCAAGTACTGACCCATGCTCTAAGTTCATCCGCCTTATTTCTGATACTTCTAGCATTGGAATATACACACTTCAAATATCCCTGTGTCCGCAATTTCGCTCCATCGACTGCATTTCTTTATTAACAAGCTCACTCCCTGTTGTGTCTGTTGGAAGGCTGAATACCTCATCCTCTGAATTACCAATCCGGTTCCCCACCCCCTGCCAATCTAGTTTAAACCATCCTGTATAGCTCGAGCAAACCTCCCTCCCAGGATATTTGTGCCCTTCCGGTTCAGGTGCAACCTGTCCTTACTGTACAGGTCCCACCTTCCCCAGAATGTGCTCCAATTGTCCACATAATGGAAGCCCTCCCTCCTACACCAGCCCTGTAGCCACATGTTTAGCTGCACTCTCTCCCTATTTCTTACCTCGTTATCACATGGCACTGGTAGCAATCCAGAGGTAACTACCCTGATGATTTATAAATAAATGATTTGGAGGAGAATGTAGATGGTCTGATTAGTATGTTTGAGGACAACACAAAGATTGGGGGAGTTTTTAAAAAAAGAGTGAAGCAGTGACATATTCTTCAATACATAGTCAATCAGAATGCTGTGAACCACTGGAATTCACTATCCAAAATGGCTGTAGATGCTCAGTTGTCAAGTAGTTTAAGGCTGAAATACGAGATTTTAGATTTCTTTCAGAATAAAGATTTAGCAGAAAGGTAGAGTGGATGTCAGTCTCAGCAAGGAATTAAATTTGTGAATGGCAGTATACTCCCAAGCTCCTACTTATGATCGCCAGGAATATAGCACATTTGCAATCTGAAATCAGATTACAATCAGCTGCTTTCTCAATCTGTTTTTTTTTTAAAGAACATTTGGTCACATGTTCCCTATGGGGAACTGATACATCAGCAGTGTAGCTGCGATTACAGCTGGAGGTTTCTTTAGATGGGCAGTTGCACAACTCCTTGAGGGAGATGTTAACCTATAGTCAGAAAAACAAGGAAGGAAATAAATTTATTTTTCAATTTTTTAATTTGTTTTAAAAATTCACTTGGGAGTTTTGCATATTGGAATATTCTGAATGCAGGAGATGCTATTATTTGAGTCTAACAACAAATTAACTACGTTTTGCATAGCATCTTCCCAATATTCAGGGTATATTTCACAGCTGTCAGCTGCCTGTAAGCTCCTGAATATTTTGTGCATTTTGTTTTCAGATCTGTGTTAACTTGCCTGTACTTTTCACAAAGCCTACCTGACTTGCTGATTGTTGGCAACATCAGTAATGGTTTTGCTTTATTTAGAAAAAAATGCACCATCTGTTCATATATTATAATTATTATGAACTGAGGCACTCAGGTCACTGGATTGCTGATGGAACAGGTGATACACTGACCATGGAGCATGTATTGTAGATTTACCAGAACAGTATTTGGGCTACAAGGGTAAAAGTACAAGGACAGCACACATGTGGATGGCACAGTGGTTAGCACCATGCCTCACAGCGCCAGGGACCCGGGTTCAATTCCAGCCTTGGGTGACTGTGCAGAATTTACATGTTCTCCCCATGTCTGTATGGGTTTCAGCTGGGTACTCCAGTTTCCCCCCACAGCTTAGGTGGATTGGCCATGCTAAATTGCCTGTAGAGTCCATGGATGTGCAGGCTGGGTAGACTAGCCATGGGAAATGTAAGGTTGCATGGATATGGGGAGAGGGGTCTGGATGGGATGTTCTTCACAGGGTCAGTGTAGATTCAATGGGCTGAATAGCCTACTTCCACACTGTAGGGATTCTTTGAGTCTATGACTTCAGAATTTATAAGATTAAAAGTGACTTGACCAAGGTTTCCAAAACATTAAGGGGGACAGATATGGTAGTTAAGATAAACTATTTCTGCCAGTTGAGGAGACTTAGGATTAGGGTTATAAAGACCGAAACCAAGTTAAATACGTTCACTTAAAAAGTGGAAGTTGTTTGGATCTCTCTTCCGCAAATTCATTTTACGTCAGATTGTTATCGACAAGTATTAAATGATATGAGGCAATGTCAGCCAAGATTACACAAGATGCACAGCACAGAAACAAGTCCATGGTTTGCAGTACTTGTGACGGGATGGAGCACATCATTTAAATAGCAGCCTCATCCTCCATTCCCTTCTACCTCGCATAGTCATTAGATTTCCCCTCAAATGCATCGATACTACTTGCCTCAACCACTCCTTGCGGGAACGAGTTCTACATCTTCATCACCGTCTGAGTGAAGAGAGTTTCATAGTCATAGGGTCAGTGACATTTTGTGTCGACACTGATCATCAAGCATCTATTCTAATCCCATTTTGTTCACACTTGGCCCCGAGTCTTGCATGCTATAGCATTTCAACTCCTCATCCAAATACTTAAGTGTCTTTCGGATTCTCACCTCTACCAAAGTTTAAGGCAGAGTTCCAGACACCCAGCTTCTGGATGATTTTCTCCCCCTTCACCTTCCTTATAATCCACTACAAACCACTTGTTCTTTACCTTAACGGTGCCTCCGGTTGTCCCGTATCTAGCTATCCATATAGCTTTATGCACCTCAAGCCTTTATTCTGAATTTCCAGACTACTGAACGAGCAATTCGTCGACCAGCAGAGCGGCGCAAAGAAGTCGAACCGAGGAAGGCACAGCTCTCATGGGATCTACAGCATTTACAGGTTGAGTGGAAGTGGGGAGCACTTACCAGTTCCCTGTCGTCCCAACTTTTCGACCTTCAACTTGTTGTTGGGGAATGGAAGATGATGCTTCACTCACAATCGTCCCTCCTGCCGTAACGAAGCAACAACTTTCGTTCCGCCCTTCAATAAATACACACACACACACCTTCACCCCCCGGATCTTCCAGCGACTGCTTCCTCCATCCGTTAACCACAACGAGCTTTAAAACAACCATCAAAATAACATGCGCTACCAGAAAGGCCCATTTCCCTCTACATCCACTGACAATATTTGTCCTACCTTCCTTAGACTCTGAGCCGCCGGCAACAGAAACCGTTAGGAATAGAACCTCCAGCTCAGAATCTATCAATAGTGACAAGGGGGGGGGAGTAGGAGCGACATGAGATGTGAATGATCTTACAGTTAAAGTAGAGAATGACTATAGAATAACTAGTTATAGAATAAATTAGTTATATTAACTGAGAAACTTTGAGGGCACATCTTTGACTTTCATGACCCATACTATTTCTGTAGGTTCAGTCTCCCTCCCCTCCTTCTTGCGCGGAAGAACGTTATTTGGTGGGGTCTGGGCCGCGTGCGCCCCCTGTAGGAGCGGGCGGGCGGCCCCTTTTGTTTGGCGGGGTTGACGAGCTCCCACTTTTCCCTCAGAAGGGGTGATGGAGGCCCAGAGGCTGCTCGAAGGCCCGACGCTGTCGTCCGAGTACTTTCAGAATTGGTGAGCGAGCGGGGGGTGGGGAAGCAGCCAGCCGCTGCGGGGCTCAGGCCTCGGCCTTTACCTCCTCGAACACTTCCGCATTTCTGTCGATCCCGCCGCACGGTCTCAACTCTCTCCCCTCTTTGTGTTCACCCCCAGGTACGGGAGCTCCGACCCGCTGCCGCCGCGTCTCCAGCAGACCCAGGCCCAGTCAGCCACAGGGCCCGATCCCGACAGCCTGGAAGAGGCCGCAACCCCAGAGGCCGGACAAGGTAAGCGTGTCCAGGACTGAATGGAAGTATTTCCTCTTTTGAAATTCGCCGCAGAACATCAACAATAAAACTAAAACTCCGCCTGGAAAACAGATGTTAAACATAAAATTGCATCTCTTTCTGCGGCCTGTTGACTGTCTTAATAAGGTAGTGGGCCAGGAAGCTAGATTTCTTCTGTTCAGATAGGCAATGACCCGTTTTACACCTTTGGTAAAAAGAAATCTCAAGGCACTTTACAGGAATATAAGATAAATTTACACCTAGCCACGTAGAGAGTTGTTATGTCAGATGACCGAGAGCTTGGGCAATGGAATTGGTTTTAAGGACTGCCTTCACAGAGGAACGCGAGGAAAGGGATTTCAGACTATGAGACCTTGATAGTTAAGGAACGGCCGCCTTCGGTGGCAAAGTTAAAATCAGGGATGCTGAAGAGATCACTGTTAGAGGAGTGCAAGTATGTCAGAGGGCTGGAGTTTACATAGAAGGGTGAGGGGTTTAAAAACAATGGGAATTTTTAAAATGAGATGTTACTCAAAGGTGAAAGCAAAGTAGGTGAGTGAACACAGGTGATGGGTGAACAGGACTTGGTAAAAGTCACAGGCACAACTTTCGAATGCTTCGAGCTTATTTGGAATGGAAAGTCTGAGGCTCAGTACATCAGGAGCTTGTTAAAACAGTCGATTCTAGAGCCTACAGGCATCAATGACAATAACAACAACAGAAGAACTATGGGAGCAGGGTAGATTTGGAGACAGAAGTTCATCTCATGCTTAGATATAACACCAAGGTGACAAAGAGTCTGGTTCTACCTCATAGTTGCCAGGGAGAGGGACAACATTAAAGGCTAGGGAATGAAATTTGGGATGATGATTGATGATGGTTTTTGCCTTCCCACTGTTTAATTGGAAGAAATTTGTGCTGATTGAACTCTGTCAGACAAGCAGTTTGAAAATGAGAGAAGATGGTGGGATCAAGTGAGGTACAGCTTTGTCTCATCAGCATGTATGTGGACAGCAAAACTATATTTCTGGATGATGTTGCTGCAATGCATTATGTAAGTGAGAAACAAAACATGGTCAAATATAGACTCTTGGGGACACCCAAGGCACTGTGGCACAACTAACAGCTATTGTAGGTGATCTGTTGACAATGATAGATGATTAAGAGTGGAGCTGGGTGAGAGTGGTCCCGACTCTTTTGGAAGAAGGTTTGGTTAATCTAAGCGCTTGCAAGCACCTCAAGAGGATGACAAGAGATCATCTATCATTGTCAAAATTACTTAGGATATTTGAGTAAGGCAGGCAGCAGCATGTTCACAGACTTCAGAGAGTAAAGGGATGTTGGAGATGGGTAGTTTTAGAGCTGAAGAAGTCAAACTTAGGTGTCTCAAACTTGATTGAGTTTTTTGCGGAAGTAACATAGATGATTGATGAGGACAGGGCAGTGGATATTGTCTACATGGACTTTAGCAAGGCCATTGACAAAGTCCCTCATGGCAACCTGATACTGAAGTTGAAGTCACTTGGGATCCATGGTGAGCAGGTAAGATGGATACAGAACTGGCATCGTCATAGAAGACATAACATAGCTGGTGGAGGGGTGTTTTTCTGACTGGAGATCTGTGACCAGTGGTGTTCCACAGGCATCAGTGCTGAGACTGCTGTAGTTTTTAATATATTTAAATGATTTGGAGGAGAATGTAGGTGGTCTGATTAGTAAGTTTGCAAATGACACAAAGATGGGGCAGCTGCGGATAGTGAGGAGGATTGCCAGAGGATACAGCAGGATATGCATTGGCTAGAGGCTTGGGCGGAGAAATGACAGGTAAAATTTAATTAGGACAAATGCGAGGTGATACATTTTGGAAGGTGGAGCTGAGTCTCAAAAAGATCAGCCATGATCTTATTGAATGGCGGGGCAGGCTCAGAGGGGCCAGATGGCCTACTCCTGCTCCTAGTTCTTATGTTCTTATATGATTTCATGCTGTTGTCTCCAAACAAAATCTACAGTACCATTATATTTTTTAATTTTTTTAGCATTTTGTTGCATCATGGATAATTCTTTTTAATCGCTTGATATTTAAGTATTGCTGAAAAAAGACACATCTTGTCAAAATTTATGACATACATTCTTGCAAAAAATACCAAAATAAAGGGAACAGAATATTTTTACTAGGAAGGCAGTGCTTATTGTTTAGCTTCTGGACACTGATTGGTATTACCATGGACAGTTCATTATGAATTGAAACAAAAACAGAAGCTGCTGGAAAAGCTCAGCAGGTCTGGCAACATCATCATCATAGAATCCCTGCAGTGTGGAAACAGGCCATTCGGCCCAGCAAGTCCACGCTACCCCTCCGAAGAGCATCCCAACCAGACCCATTCCCCTACCCCTGATTTCCTCATGTCTAACCCACTTAACCTAAACATCCCTGGGCACTATGGGCAAGTTAGCATGGCCAATCCACCTACCCTGCACATCTTTGGACTGTGGGAGAAAACCGGAGCACCCAGAGGAAACTCATGCAGACACAGGAAGAACGTGCAAAGTCCACGCAGACAGTCGCCCAAGGCTGGAATTGAACCCGGGTCCCTGGCGCTGTGAGGCAGCAGTGCTAACCACTGAGCCACCGTGCCACCCCAAATCCACACAGACAGTTGACCAAGGCTGGGATTGAACCCGCGTCCCTGGGTACTGTGAGGCAGCAGTGCTAACCAATGAGCCACCATACCACCCAAACTATCAGCTGCACTCAAGGCAGGTAGGACATCTGTGAAGAGAGATCAAAGTTAACGTTTCAGAACTGAGGAAGGATCACCAGACCCAAAACATTAACTTTGATTTCTCTTCACAGATGGTACCAGACCTGCTGAACTTTTCCAGCAACTACTGTTTTTGTTTCTAATTTACAGCATCTGCAGTTCTTCAGGTTTTCACTAGGTATTAATACTTGACAATTAACTGCCAAGGTTTGTTTAACTTTTTAAACTAGACAGGTTGACTCTGATTGGTCAAGACATATTATTGGGTTCCATTAGAGATGTGTCTTCAATGGAATGACACCTAATTTCCTATGCCTTGCAAATTTCTGATACATGTTTCATATGTGAATCTGCAGCTGCTTGTAAGCATTTCCTCACATGTCATTATTGGGCTCCATCTTGTGCTCAAAGTCATCTTTGAAATGGAACAGTCATATAAGCTGCCTTTCTGCAATGTCCTAGTTAAGAAATCAGTCTTTTCTGTACTGCTGTCTACCACATACATACCTTCACTTGTCAATGTGTGTTGGACTTGAGCCACTTGTTCAATCTGCAAGCTTGATGCTGAAACAGGCACATTGGCATTCTGTAGTTTAATGGCTAACTGATCAAATCATTTCTCACTGTGTATTATACATAGTCATAAGTGTGCTTAACGCCATCGCTTTTGGTATTGGAAAGTGTCCATTCTTCTTCCGATTACCTGGAAGGTAACCACAAGTAATTTTTGCCACAAGCTGGATGCTGCAGTCGAGCCAAAAGAATGTTTTGCTTATCACACAAATGAAAATTGTGGTAAAACAAAATTCGGTGCCAGCTTAATGCTAGGCCTTCCTGAAATATTACAGGTTATGTCAAACTGTATATCCTTTTAGCTGTTTACAACATCAAGGTACTGACTAACACAACCAATAACCTCAGTGTGCAAGATTAGACTTGATTCTACAAATAGACAACATTTGCTACATTTTCTTGTATGTGTGAAGAATTTTGCTGAAAACCAATTGTTGTTGTAATGTTGCTGTTGCATTTGGGTAATGCTGCTGTGAATCTCAGACTGTTGAACTTGTTTAACTCTTTTGCCCTCTCTTGATGCTATCCATTGAATATTTTAGCAAATTAAGGAACTATATTAATCCTGAGTTATTCACTGGAATAAGTCATATCTTAACTGGCAGGAATCAGAGAATTAATTCACCTTTTTCATTCCTGGTGCTATGCGCACAGTTAGCCAATTCTGTATGCATGCTAATATATCATCCTGAACATCATGAGCTGTTATCTTATGCAGTAAACTTTAATGTGGTACTTTATTTAATGCCTTATGGAAATTTAAATACATTACATCTACTGGTTCCCCTTTATCCATCCTGCTTACTATATCCACTGAGAACTCTAATAAATCAGTCAACTGTTCCTCTCTCAAAGCCACGTTAACTTCTTGATTTTTTTTCTGATTTTGTAAATGTCCTGATGACCCTCGTCAACATTGTATTATAGCGTTTTCTGAAAGACCGATAGATCAACTGGTCCTTTATTCCTGCTTAAATATAGGCAAAATACTGTAGATGCTGTAAAGCTGAAACAAGCACAGGGAATGCTGGAGAAACTAACCAGGTCTGGCAGCATGTTTGGAGAGAGAAACTGAGTTACCATTTTGAGTCTTTTTTTTTACTCTTCTGAAACATTAACTCAGTTTCTCTCTCTACAGATGCTGCCAGACCTGCTGACAATTTCCCTAGCATTCTCTGTTTATACCATTCCTGTTTTCTGTCTGTCTTCTTTCTTGCATAAGTGTGCTACTTTTCAAATCCACTTTGATCCTTCCAGAGTCTAAGAAATTTTAAGCTACATGCAAAAATCACAATCATTCAGGACTTGGTGTAACTATGCTCTTTCAGCAGCTCCAAAACGTAAAAGAGGAAGACCTCCAGGACTACAAAAAAATAAGACTGAGAAAAATAAGTCTGAGGGTGCAAGCACCAAACGAAGCAAAACCGATGGGAACTCAGGAGGCAAGCAAGAAAAAATCACTGATGCTTTTAAAGTCACAAAAAGAAAAATCGATCGATTCAATGGAACAACCGAAGCTGAGCTTTTAACAAAAACCTTACCAGATATATTGACCTATGGTTTAGACATTGTGATTGTAAGTTATGTTTCTCATTATTTTAATGAATTTGATTTAGTCTTAAGAAAAGATGAAAGATTTTTAGTTCAAAAGCAACACATTCTGAAACAAAAGGGTGTCAGATTTTGAAAAGAGTGATACAGATTCTTGTGTGTTTTAACAAAGTAGCCAAACATAAGGGTGGCTTTTGTTATCTCCCTTTCATGGGGATGATAAAGATTAACTCTAAGGAAGTGGAATTATGCAATTATTCATTCCACTAATAATCCATTTTTATAAGTCTGCAGCTTAAGTGTGATCAGCTTGAAAAGCAGCCTTGGAACTGTGGCTGTCACCGTAAATCAATAATTTCAATCATTTTGGTCTAGAAATGGTTGAGTGTTCATATGTTTCAATTAACAGAATTTCATTGACTATAATTGTTTAATGAGGTAAAGTCTCGCTTTTCAAATTTTATGGTTTAGTTTTTTTAAATGATTGCTGTATGATTGGTGTATGATACAAAGGTGCAATATAGAAAAGAATCCCAAAGCATTCATAAATCTTTGCAAAAATCTTAAGCATTCACAACTAGTCAAAGGAATGGTGAGTTTGATTAGACACCAAAGAGAAGATCTTTGTATGGAGGCAGAGTACAGGACTAAGATGCTAAATGAGTATTTTTTTGTGACAGTGCCCTAAGTGGTTGTTCTGTTGGCAGCAAGCGTTTATTCCTATTTGTTTATAACTTATGAAATAGCAAGACTGGCCAGGTCCAGTTTTCCAAAAGTTATAAATTTAGCTTAAAGGTATTTCCTAATCAGCCTGTTTTATTACACACATCTGGAAGAGGTGGGACTTGAATCTGGACCTCCTGGCCCAGAGGTACATGCAATACCACAACATCACAATAGTCCTAAAGATGTAGCTGAATATATAATGATAATGAGGGAATGGGGTTCATCTGTTGCTGGTTTATGATTTAAAGTTCCCAGATGGAGAGGGAAATCTTTATTGCTTTATTTGTTAATGGTAGAGGTTTAAGAGTAGTTTTCTTCAGATATACTGGCAACAGAGACCATTTCCTAGACTCTGTTATTCAGACCAGTGCCTTGACATCTTTTCCTGTTTTCATGCTGAGATTACTGAAATGTGCCCATGGTTTAATTCTGCCCAGTGAATTTTGTGGCTTTACCTTGTTACAACTACACAATAAACATTTAAGGCCTGCACTGAAATCTTACAAAAAATTCAAATCTTTGTAAAAAGATTTGGGGCAGCATGGTCGCTCAGTGGTTGGCACTGCTGCCTCAAAGCACCAGGGACCCAGGTTCATCACCATCCTTGGGCGTCTATCTGTGTGGAGTTTGAACATTCTCCCCATGTCTGCGTGGGTTTCCTCCAGGTGCTCTGGTTTCCTCCCACAGTCCAAAGATGTGCAGGTTAGGTGGATTGACCATGCTAATTTGCCCATAGTGTCCAGGGATGTGTGGACCTGGTAGATTAGCCATAGGCAAAGTAGGTTACAAGGATAGAGTAGGGAGATGGGTCTGGGTGGGATGCTTTTTGGAGTGTCAGTGTAGAGTTGATGGGCCAAGTGGCCTGCTTCCACACTGTACGGACTCCATGAAATCTGGCAGCTTGTTAAAGATGGCAGGAGGTGGCAGGAAAGTATTATGCTTGGCTTGCTTAATGAAACCCAATTAGCTATGGAATGGCAGCTGTAGTTTCTTATAAGGTAAATCCCTTATCCTGTATGTACCAAAGAAAGACCAGTGCCTTCCTGTTCGTTGTCATTGTAACACGGGACCACTTGGCCCATCAAGTCCATGCTGGTCCTCTAGAACAAATCAGTCAGCCAAGTTCCCTCACTCTATCCCATATGTTGCAAGGTTATTTCTCTTCACTGCCTCTTCAGTTTCTTTTCAAAATCATTGATTGTTTCTACTTTCACTACCCTCAAAAGTAGCAGTGGTAGAGATGAGAACATGATTGGAGTTGATGTGGTTTTGCTGAAGCATCTCTGGCAATGCCAACATTTGTTACCCATCCCTTCTTGTCCGTCTGAAAGTTTTTTTTGTGAGCTGTCTTCCTGAACCACTGCAGTCCAGTGGAGGGAGTGCTTGGATTTTTAATCAATGACAGTAAAGGAACATGCTATTGTTTGACGTCGAGTTGTGTGAGACTTGGAGATGCGAGTCTCACATGGTGTTCAGATAGGAGCAAAGCAAAGCTGGTAATGATAGTAAGCGAAATTAGAAGATGGCAAAACAAAAGCCAGAATCAAATAGGGTTAAAGTGCAGAAAATTGTTAAAATGGCAAAATTGAAGGGCCCTGTGAATGTAAGCAGTGTTCACAGTAAGGTAAATGAATGAACAACACCAATACAATAGAAGTATACTGGTACAACGTAATTCCCATTACAGAGACATGATGGCTGAGTGACCAAGGCTGGAGACTGCGTATTCAAGGATATTTGATATCTAGGGAGGAAAGTAAAAGGAGGTGGGACTGCAGTGGTTCAGGAAGACAGCTCTCAAAAAAAACTTTCAGAAGGACAAGAGGGAAAGAAATAAATGCTAGCATTGCCAGAGATGCAAACATCCCAAGAATCAATTAAACAAAACCACATTAACTCCAATCACATTCTCCTCCTTTCTACCACTGCTACTGTAGAAGGTAGTAAAAGCAGGAAGCAGTGTTGATAAAAGATGAGACCAGTACATTAGTACAAGAGGATCAGTTTGATAGAGCTAAGCAATACCAACGGCAACACATACTGATTATAGGCCCTTAAACAGTGGTGATAACATACATCATGGTATAAATCAAGAATTTAGAATTATATGTAACAAGGTTATTGCAGTAATGCTAAGGAAGATTATTTCTTGGAATGTATACAAGGTTTTTTTTCCCTAGATTAGAACATTGAACAACCAACTGGAGACTGGGTTATTTTACATCCAGTTTTGTACAGTGAGAAAAGGCTAATGATCTCATTGCAAAGGAGCCTTTAGGAAAGAGTGAATAGAAAAAAAGTTGCTGGAAAAGCTCAGCAAGTCTGGCAGCATCTGTGAAGGAAAAAAGAGTTAACCTTTCGGGTCCGGTGACCCGAAGGTTCTAAGGAAGGGTCACCGGACCTGAAACGTTAACTCTGTTTTTTCCTTCACAGATGCTGCCAGATCTGCTGAGCTTTTCCAGCAACTTTGTTTTTGTTCCTGATTTACAGCACCTGCAGTTCTTTTGGTTTTTATTTAGGAAAGAGTGATCGTGATACGCTAAAATTTTACATTTATTTTGAGAGTGATGTAGGTTAATCAGGAATCAAGGTAAGGAAACTATAGTGGTATGAGGGGAAAGTTGGCTGTGGTAGTTCGGGAAACATTTAAAAGGTATGATGGTAGACAGGCAGTAGTTTGCATTTAAAGAATTAACGCATGCTTTACAACAATTTTATATTCCTTTTAATGTGGCCGTGTGCTGGAAAGTGGGATAGGTGTAGATAGGTCAGTGCAAACTCAATGATCATTAGGGCCTCTTCTGTGCTGTATGACTGCGACTCTATAACACACAAATTCTGAATTGGGAAATGATTCTACTTTGGCAGACAAGAACTTAAAGATTATATTAGGTCAAAGGAAATGCTTTTAAACTTGTCCAAAAAAAAAGTTTGCCTGAGAATTAGTATGCCTTAGAGTAGTATGCCTCAGAATTCAGCTAAGGAGGACCGAGGAACTGATAAAGGAAGGGAAAATAAAGCATCAACGTAAACGAGTGAAAACATAAAATTGAACTATAAAACTTCGAACAATATGGAAAAACACTGACAAATGTGGGTCTAATATAAGTAGAGGCAGGAGAATTTATAATGGCAAATAAGGAAATAGCAGAGAAACTATGCAAATACTTTGTCTTCATGGATAAAAATACAAAATAACCTCCCACTGGCATGGAGTGAAAATTAGTTAACTGAAACCAATAGAGATAAATCTAGTAGAGACAAATCAGCCACTCTCAGGTTGGCAGGCAGTGACTATTTAGATACTGCAAAGTGTTTGGACCCCAGCTATTCACAATCTATAATCAGTAATTTGGATGTGGGGACCAAATATAATGTTTCCAAGTTGCTGGTGACACATAACTAGGTAAGAATGTAAATCGTGGGGATACAAAGGGGCTTAAAGGAGATTTAAACAAATTAAATGATTGTTCAAGTACATGGCATATGGGATATACAAAAATGTCAAGTTTTCTACTTTGATAGGAAAAAAAGAAATGCAGCATTTTCTTTAAAAAAAATAAGAGTTGAGAAGTCTTGATGTCCAAAGAGACCTTGGTATCCTTGTTCTTGAGTTACTGGAAATTAATGTGCAGATGCAGCAATCAGTTGGGAGGCAATTATGTGCTGGCCTTTATCGCTAGAGTTGTAAGTACAGGAATAGTAATCTCTTGTTGCAATTGTCTAAATCCTTGTTGAGACTACACCTTGCCCATGGATGGGGTGCAACGAAGGTTTGCCACACTGATCCCTGGCATGGTGGCATTGTCCTCTGGGAGAGATTAAAGAGACTGGACCGGTGTTTTCTGGTGTTTGGAAGAATGAGAGATAATCCCGTTGAAACATACAGAACTCTTGCAGGGTTCAACAGGGTAAAAGCAGGAAGGATGTTTTCCCTCAATAAAGGCGGGAGCTATTTCGGACTGAGCAGGAATTACTTCACTTATAAAAGCATAGAATTCTACAGTGCTGAAAGAGGCCATTTGATCCATAGAGTCTGCACCAACCATCTGACGAGCATCCCACCCAGACCCAGCCCTCTACCCCACTATCCCAAATTTACCATGACTAATCTACCTAGCACTATGGATGATTTTAGCATGACCAATCCACCTAACCTGCATATCTGTGGATTGTTGGAGAAAATCAAAGCACCCAAAGGAAACCCAAGCAGACAGTCACCCAAGGCTGGAATCAAACCCATGTTACTGGCGCTGTGAGGCAGCAGTGCTAACCATTGAGCTATCGTACCGCACCTCGGGGCAATAAAAATTTGGAAGCCTTTACCCCAAAAAGCTGTGGAGGTTCCAATTTGAGAATGATCAAGTCAGAGACAGAGATTTCTAGCTATAAAAGACATGAAGGGATATGGGGATAGTGTAGGAAATTGGTAAAAAGTAGCATTCTGTGTAATTTTTCTTGCTACTGCAAGGTACTCCAACGTCTGTATGCAACAGTGGCTTCCAGAAGCTAAATCCATGCAATGACACGCTGATCAACGTGTGTGGAACTTCCCAGCGGCTGCACGGCCACAGCTTAGAGGGAACGTTGGTTTCGAGGTAAAGAAACCATTATTTAGTTGAATGGCAAATAGCTTACTCCTAATTTATATATTCCACTGCTTCAAGAATATACTGAGAAATGCTTAGATGCAGGCTTTCCCTCTAAAATGAAGAAAAATATGGAGGAGAGAGTAAGTTATAACATTTGTGTTGGAAACAGTAGCTGTTAGTTACTCTTGTATTTTGATGGCTTGCTTTAAATCTTCTATGCTCGTGGCTAGAATAAAGCATTTTTGAGTGTCTGCCAAATTGTGGTGACTTATTTTCTACATTTTGAAATAGCATTTCTGATTTTGTTTTGAGTATCCTGAAGAATATAATATCTGGAAAGTTAGTTCAATATTTTGGGTGAAAATTCCATTGAGAGCCTTTGGACATGATTGCACATTTCCTTAAGCAATGTGATATGTTTCCTGTGAAAGTACATTTCAAAATGGAAGCACATGCTTGGCTTCCTCTTCGCTGCTGCTGGAAGTACTTAGAGCAGAATTGGGCACGACGCTGATGTTCTTTTTCCTTGTGGAATACATTGCTAATCAATGCTGTCCCATGAGTTATTGGATACTTCTGCAAGGGTACGTAGCATGAGTGTAACTGCAATATCTTTGTTAGTATGTGATAGAGAAAAGACTGTATTCTTCTTGCTTAGCTTTTCCTGAAGAAATTCTGCTGGAGCTGTGAAAGCTGAATGTCAAGTATTTTCACTTGATATATTTTTACTTTCTCATGACCTACTGGTTGTAATTTCCTTTCCATTCTAAATTGAGTCTGCTGTTTGTTTTAGATTGGAATTAACCCAGGGTTGATGGCAGCATACAAAGGACATCATTACCCTGGACCAGGAAATCATTTTTGTAAGTTTTTGTATCTACAGAAATCCTGCTGGCTGTTCTTAAATCTTTTTGATATTTTAATGTTTGTTTGAGTGGATTGCGTGATGAGCAAAGCATACTGATTTTTACTGTTAGATTTTTCAGAAGTGGACAATTGTCGTTTCTTAGTTATTATTCTCTAAGCTAGTTCATTTTATTATGACTGTCTCTTACTTTATATTCAAACTTTAACCTGTACCTTTTTGTTTGTAGGGAAATGCTTGTTTTTGTCTGGTCTTATTGATAAGCCTTTAAGTCATCTGGATGATGCTTCTTTACCAGAAAAATATGGAATAGGTTTCACAAACATGGTAGAGAGAACTACTCCAGGAAGCAAGGACCTCAAAAGGTGATTCAGGAAAGCAAATTTAAAATTCATTTTTTGTTTCATTTGGTAAGAAAACATAATGTAAAAATTATTTGCATTTCAGCAAAGAGATTCGGGAAGGAGGAAAAATACTTCTGCAAAAACTACAGAAATTTAAGCCGCGAATTGCTGTGTTTAATGGGAAATGTAAGTACGCGTGAAAATTTTAAAAAGAAACTTCTGACCTTCTGACAATAACTTGATATTTGAATTTTTTTTAAACTGCGAATGTAGAGTTACTAGTACTGGGAAACCCAATTTCAATACGAAACACTCCCATTATGTATAGCACTGAATAAAGCTGCTTCTGACTTAACATGAGGACAATCAATCTGTGATGAATTTAAGGCCATGCCTCTGAAGTAAAAGGTCTCTGTACTTTCAGCTCCTCCCAGAATATGAGTTTATTGAGGTTGTTGACTTGCTCGCCAAGCTGGCTTGTCCTCATTCAGACTTTTCGTCACCCTGCTAGGTGACATCATCAGTGGAGCCTCCGATGAAGCAGTGTTATTCTACTTCGCTTAGAATTTATACTGATTGGTCCATTATGGTGAGTAGTTCGGCGAGCAAGTCAACAACCTCACCCACATCGCGAGCTACAGATCTTTGCCAACTACTTACCATAACGGACCAAACAGTGTAAATTCCAAGCGGAGTAGAATAACACCGCTTCATCAGAGGTTCCACTGATGGTGTCACCTAGCATGGTGATGAAATGTCTGAATGAGAACACGCCAGCCCGGCAAGCAAGTCAACAACCTCACCCACAACCCAAGCTACAGATCTTTTTCAAAACTTTGAATATGAGTTTACTCTTAAAATTGCATAATTTCAGAAATACCTGAGTCCTTTCATTTGGATAATTCTGTCTGTACTAATTTATATAATACAGACAGCATGTGCATGGAAGACTACTTAAATTTATATTATCTGACAAAAAAAATCACATTGAAAAGTTTCATTTTACATATCATTTACAGGCATCTATGAAATTTTTAGCAAAGAAGTTTTTGGAGTTAAAGTGAAGAAATTGGAGTTTGGGCAACAGCCGCACAAGATCCCTGAAGGAGAAACGGTAAGCACCTTAATATAATTTAATTTCTTTTATACTTATAAAATTTTGAAGTAAATAATGCTGTATTCCTCTGTTGGAAAATCCTTCATCTCTTTCTCAAAGCCCCCAAACTTCTTACTGTCTAATGACTCTCGTCAGTGCCTCTTAAATCTTTGCTGTAGTGAAGAAAATCTTCACATCTTTTGTTTGGTATTTATAGATTAGGTGAAAAAGTATTTCTAGAAGTTGGTATTTGTTTTATCAGTAGCTCTTCCATATGCATTTCAATTCAGTGCATGATGTCACAATCCTTCAGGGAAGAGTGTGCTAGTAATCAAACCCCACTATTCCATGAACTGTCATAAATGACCACCTAAATTACTAAGGATAACAAGGTATAGAGCTGGATGAACACAGCAGGCCAAGCAGCATCAGAGGAGCAGGAAGACTGACGTTTCGGGCCTAGACCCTTCTTCAGAAAATCTTCTAATTGAATTACTAGGGTGGTTAATTTGCCTGATACGACTCCTATCTACGACAAAATTAAATTTCACTGGGTCTCATCAACAAGCAATAAACAAACATCCTTTAACACATGGAGAAACAAATTATTAACAACTACTGAGCGTGCTTAAAGTACATTCTCTTTAAAGCGCATTCATTCACAAATAGGAGCAACAAGACAGTTCTGCATAAACCCCGTGGGTGGAAAACTTGGGTAAAAAGGAGCCAGTTCTGTGGATCAAAAGTCTGTAGCACAGGAGTGAAATGAAGTTCTCACAGTTATCATAGAAGTCATAGAGTCATACAGCACGGAAACAGACCCTTTAGTCCAACTCATCCATGCCAACCAGACATCCCAGTCTGACCTAGTCCCAGGTGCCAGCATTTGGCTCATATACCAGTAAACCCTTCCTATTCATACAACCATTTAGATGCCTTTTAAATGTTATAATTGTACCCACTGTCTCCATTTCCTCCAGCAGCTCATTCCATACACACCCTACCCTCTGTGTGTTACCCGTCGGGTCCTTTTTTATGTCTTTTTCCCCCTCACCTTAAACCATATGCCCTGTAATTTTGGACTCCCGCCCACCTTAGGGAAAAGACCTTGGCTGTTGACCTTATCCATGCCGCTCATGATTTTATAAACATCTAATTTTTTTTTTGGTGATGAATCATATTGTTGATTGTAGGACGTTTGCAGATCCTTAGTTTGGTAGTCAGTCATTTGGACCTATAGCCATTATTTGAATGAAAAGTTATTTTCAGAATCTGAGTGTTGTTTCATAGAACAAGAAAGAAAGAGATTTGTCTTTCTTGCAGGCTTTTTGGCGGTCTACAACTTAAATATCCAAAAGGTTTTTGCAAGGAAACCTTTCAGATCAAAAGTACTTGACATCAGTTTGTCTCTCAAAAGTTTCAAATCTACTTTGCTAAAAGTTACATGACCTTACTTAACCAACAAGTGAACACCACAATGTTCTACTTTTGACCTTTGAGTTGTGAAGAATACACCTGGTACATTCGCTGCAACAGCATTGTCCAAACACCCATTTTTTTCCCCCCAGTTTATAAATTTTTTAAAGCACAGTCTTTACAATTGCCAGTTTTCATTATTTTAGTTCAAAGAATCTATTTCCTTAACAGAAACTTGAATTTTCCTTTAACTGATCTTCAGTTTGCTGAAAAGAATCATCTGTGGTGTCTCAGCCCAGTGATTTTTTTTCGAGATTACATTTGTTCCTTTTCACAATAGTTTCCAACATGGTGATCCATAAACTTATCCTGGCCAGTGATAAATCAAGATTAAGTGCTGAATCAACTGCTTCTCTGGAATTTCAGATTGATTTGGGATAGAGGGGGTAAATAAACAATCTTCTTTAATTCCTTTTGTCTACCAACCTCCATTCTCCTCAACTCAAACAGCACCTTTGGTTGTCTAACTGTCCAGTCTATCATTGAACTTGCTCATTACGAAACACAGAACAAGTTGGGTTTATGTCTTTCTTCAAAGTATCTTATCTAAATTTGAGTTAAATTTTGTCTACCCTTCCAATTGCCTTTAAGTTCTGTATTCTCTGACTTTGATTTGTCTTGAGTTCTCCATTTTTTAAAAATATTATAGTATCATTACTCTCATTTTTTCTGTTAATGCCACCTTCATCACAAATATGCTGGCTGCACAAGTCTTCCTCTTGCTGTTACATTTTCCTGATGATGAAGTTTCTACAGAGATAAATACATCGCTTTAACTTTACTTCCAAGGTGGTCTATGTCATGCCTTCTTCAAGTGCAAGGTGTGCGCAGTTTCCTCGGGCCCAGGACAAGGTACATTATTATATCAAGCTAAAAGAACTACGAAATCACTTGAAGGGCATTAAAACTCCTACAGAGGTCACTGAAGTAGAATACTCATTTGACTTGCAAAAAGCTCAAGGTAAGTAGCCTGTAGTTGTAATTCAGATGAAAAGTCTTTATTAAGAGCAACCCGATGTCTATAACTTTTTTTAAAGTTTATTTCTTCTATTTACCAACTACTTGTGAAATTTTGTTGATGGTGCTGACTTGCTTAGATTGATTGCAGTCCTACTTTCAATTGCACAGCAACTAGGTATTTACATAGATTTATACAGCACAGAAACAGACCAGTCTAATTTGTCCATGCCGACCAGATATCCTGAACTGATCTAGTCCCATTTGCCATGATTTGGCCCATATTCCTTTAAACCCTTCCTATTCTTATACCCATCCAGAAGCCTTTTGAATGTTGTAATTGTACCTGTCTACACCACCTCTGCCAGTTTCTTCCATGCATGCACCACCCTCTGTGTGAAAAAGTTGCCCCTCAGGTCCCTTTTAAATCTTCCCCCTCTCACCTTAAACCTATGCCCTCCAGTTTTGGACTCCCCTACCCAGGGAAAAAGACCTTGGGTATTCACCCTATCCATGTCCCTCATAATTTTATAAACCCCTGAGGTCACCCCTCAGCCTTTGATGTTCCAGGGAAAATAGCTCCAGCCTAGTCATTCTCTATCTATAGTTCAAACTCTCCAATCCCAGCAACATTCTTGTCAATCTTTTCTGAACCTTTTCAAGTTTAACAACATCTGTCCAACAGCAGGGAAACCAGAACTTAACATGGTATTCTAAAAGTGGCCTCACCAATGAAGGCAAGCTTGCCAAATGCTGCCTTCGCCATCCTGTCTTCCTGTGACTCCACTTGCAAGGAACTATGCACCTGCACCCCAAGGTCTCTTTGTTTGGCAATACTCCCGAGGACCTTACCATTAGGTGTATAAGTCCTGCCCTGGTTTGCCTTACCAAACTGCAACGCCTCACGTTTACCTAAATTAAGTTCCATCTGCAGCTGCTCGGCCCTTGGGCACATCTGATCAGGGTTCCATTGTACTGTGAGATAGTCATCATCACTGTCCACTGCACCACCACTTTTGGTGCGATCTGCAAACTTAATAACCATTCTTCCTTTATTCACCTCCAAATAAATGATGAAAAGCAATGGACCCAGCACCAATCCTTGCGGCACACTGCTGGTCAGAGGCCTCCGGTCTGAAAAACAACCCTATACCACCACCCTCTGTCTCCTACCTTCAAGCTAATTTTATATTCCAGTTGGCTGACCACCCCACACCGCTCCCCTCCACCCCCCCCCACCCCCCGCCACCCCCTCTGCCGGATTCCCTTCATACTCGCATCCAGTACAAAGCATAGCACGTTTGAAGAATACATGATGTGACCAGATACAGTAAGCTCCTGTAATGTCATTTTTAAGGACTTTGAGAAAATAATTCTAGTTTTAGGAGTTAATAACCTGTTTACTAATGCACAAATTCACTCAACAGCCTGTCAATATATAATGGCATATCCTGAAAATAATGAATTCCCTGAAATAAATCCCATTCTTGTGGAAGGAGTTTTGAACTTCCAAACTTTAGATCTTTGCATGTGAATTCTGTTGCATTCTGCTTTTCAAGAAAATTTAAAGACTATTGTAATTATGTATTCACACACTGATGTATGCATGGGTGTATAATATAATTGAGAATTCATGCCAGAAAAGAGTGTTAATCCTTTTTCTCTATATCCTTTAAATCCACTATCTGAAACTAGGTTAGACTAATTTTGCAAAATGTAACTGATTGACAAAAAAGAAATAAATCAGCCTTTTTAAGATGATAGGAAACCTTAATTCTGTGACCTTAACTCATACGATTAGAGATCTTTGCCATTTAAACATGAAGCTGATGAATCAAAATCAATGTCCCGAATAAAAGCTCAAAACTAGAACTTCAATAAATATGCCAATTCTGCTCAATCTCTCTTCCTTTCAGTAACACAAAGATCTTAATTAGATAGAGCTGACTTTTTCTTTGCTGAAGGATATAAATCAGCATGTTCCAACCTTATTGCTTGGGAGGCCACATTACAATTTTACTCTCATTTGGGAGTGGGTAGGCAAATTTCAGAATGATGAGGTCATCATAAATATGAATTTCAGGGGGCAAAGTCTAAGATAATAGGCGATGCTTTGTAGATGCCATTTTGGGAGATGGGGAGATGGAAGAGAAGACTGGTTAGGTACCTTACTAAATCTCACCCAGCCGCTCAATTAGTTGACCTGTCACTCAGTTGCCCAGCCAGCTATCCTAGGCTGTGGTGTTGCTGTAATCACCTTAGGGTTTGGCTGGTGTGCAGCTAGCCAGCAGGCAGGTGAGCACATGGCTCATTGAATGAGACACAGTCAGCCTTCTCTTCCTCATCAAGATCTCCCTGTCTCCCCTCTCTCTCAGAAGTCATCAAGGGGTCTTGAGGCTTGCCTTATGTACCTATGGTCCTTCTTTGGATAATTAATACTTCCACTCAATGTTGCTGATTGGAAAGCTGCTGTTGCCTAATGAAGAGTTGACGTGCCAGCAAAATGCCAACAGCTGAAAAAAACTGTCTTTACTAGGGCCTTTGAATATTTTAATTGAATTCCTTGTGACAAAATACATGTCCAATACCAGTCCCACCAGTAGAAATATTTCCTCGTGAATCAGTAGAATTATCGCTGTCACTTGCTGCCTGGGATGATGGACAAGCAAATAGTACATGAGCATCTGCTAATGTTGTTTTGTTAAGGCACAGGTTTGACTAATATTTGCACCCCCCATGCCCCACCACCCCACAGCAGCCTGAGGCTCATTCCAAACAAGGCAGTGTCTCACAGTTCCCATTGCGCTACAGCCCCCAGCCTCCGGCTGATTCAAAGCCCATGTTTTTGCACTTTGCTCCTGCAATTACATGTAATTCCTCTCCCGTGTTTACTGCTGATAGTCATTCTAGTAAACTAGAGCATGATAAGAGAAAAATGGCCTCTGATTGCAGGAGCAGCTCTGTTAAAAATCCAGATAAATGTAATTGGAACATTTCGAACAAAGGCTCGGCAGGCCATGGTGAACCCCTTGCTGGGCTGCATGGTGACATGTGGTCTACCTGTTGGGCAAGCCCAATATAGATGTAAGTGGTTATTAAATTAATGCAGTCTGTGGGAAAATCTGCCGTCAATCAGGCACTTATCCATGACTAAACAAGGAAAAATATGCCCAAATAGCCATAATTGCAATACGCAGCGTTATCATAACTTACTTGTTGTAACCATTTTAACTTTATAGCCAGTTTCTATAGAAGTTAAAGTTCATTTGTTGTCAGTTTTCACTAATGGAATGTTGAATTCCAATTAATTGGGCAAGCTGATTCCTGGTCTTCTGTTTTATTTGTCCAGAATGATTGAGGTTTTGGTTTGTCCATAAGTTGTTGTAGTATATTAAACTTGTCTTTAAATTCATAGTCATTTTTTTTATTATTGTTAAAAAAACTTTACTGTACAATGTTCTAATTTCTCCATTAGCGGAAGCCAAGAAAATGGCAATTAAAGAGGAAAAGTATGACCCTGGATATGAAGCTGCTTATGGTGGTTCATACATTGAAAAATCCACTGAAATCAATGGGCAGTGCAGTTTTGCTACAACTGAACTAGGTAAATGAGCAAAATGATTTCATTGTGAGTAAACCATCATGGTGTTTTATATTTTATATTGATGTAATTTGTATACCGAATGCTAAACTTTATAGTAACCTGCAGGATACTACTATAAGGAAATATATAACTCTTCGGCATATTAAAATATTGTTAGTGAAGGAAGAGTGCTATCCCTTTCGCATACTCTCATTTTACTCGTAGAACAAAAAGATTTTGTATATTAAATTATTTTTGGAGAAAGGATTCAATCTTTGTTGTGATTTCTAACCACTAGTTGATCCTTGTATTTGTAGCCTGGTAATCCCTCCCAAGGATCCATTTGTCCCTTTTTTAGAAAAAAATTGAAGATTATAGGATATGAAAACCTGAAGCGATGATGTATTCTATCATATATAATTTGCGCTAAGGTCTGCATTACTTAAAAATATGTAGGCATCATTTTTATTATGAGGGAGTAGAGTGACTAGATACACTTGGCCAATAAGCAATTTTAGATTGTCTAAAGTAGAGATCCCAGAAATGCAGCCTGCATTTAAAGAAAGAGTTATATTCAAACCAAAAATTCTGCTGAAATGATAATTTAGTGGCTGTAGAACAGAATTCCTGCAAAGATTGTGTCATTTAATTTTAAACACGTCTCTTGCGGCAAACAACATTTGGAATACAGGAGATGAGGAATTCAATACAAAACATGTAAATAGCAGGGGGTGCAGTTGGCATATGACTTTAGACCTTATAGCTTCCAAACTTACAGCAGAGGTTGTTTATCTGTTACTTTTGTATTTGTTGTAAACTAGCTTAAAGGATTGCTAACTAATTTTTGATTAATCTCTATCATGGTTGTATCATGGAAACAAAAGTAGTCAAGCTGGAGGACCTTTGGTATTTTTTCATCTAGCAGTTCTTTTGGTAATTTATAGTTAAAAATATAGTGCAGAACTTAATGAATTCCGTGATGACTCCAGATGGTTTCCTGATGTTTGTCTTGAAAGATTGTATGATATTGAAAAGTTTATAATGTTACTGATTTTTGTAATTTCAATATTAAATGATATCATGTTGATTTTACATCCTCCACTTCAATATTTTTTGACTATAGTCACATTTATTTCTATGTACATCGCTACTTATTCTCGGTATGTTTTCTGATTTACTTCAGAAAATATCAAATTACTTTGACTAAATTTGTTTTACAGGTGCATCCAGCAATTCCGAGTTCAACACTGGTTCAATGTTTTGCCAAGTTCCTGATGGCCAGTGGATGACCCAATCATTTGCTGATCAGATTCCTTCAATCAACAATTACTGCACAGAGTCTCAAGAAGAAAATAGCACATAATGAATTGACTGGTTTGCATAACTTAATGTTACTGCAGTTTTAATGCAGTCTTAAAAGTACTGTACCTCAGTTTTTGAACTGAAGAGGTTTTATCTTTTTACCTATTGTTATCTAGAATTATATGTAATCTTAATCATGTAGTAAAGGTCAGAAAGCTGAATTCTTAAACTTTTAGAGCAAAACTGCCCAAAATATTTATACATCAAAGAAGAAACCAGATATGGTTTGTTTTGTTTTTAACTTAATATGATCAGGTGCTCATTTTATTCCTGGAATTAATTTGGGGTTTCTAGCTAGTTTAGATTCTCTTTTGCTCAAGTGTTGCAATTATGAGGCTATTCAGCCATCCCGAAATTCCTTCTGTTAACGTTAGCAACAGGTTAGAATATTATCAGTTTTGGTCAAAATAACGGTGGGAGTTCAACAGAAATCTTGATGACCCATTAAACTGGATTGAAACAGTGCTGTTTAAGACCTTGCTTATTTGAAGTTCTTGTAATATTTGCATTTCTCAGGATGTGTGCACATCAGGTACTATTAATAGCAGTTTCACTTTCATGTCAGTTCAGACCACCTTAATCTTGGGTTTATTTGACCAAAGGGGTGCTTTTTTTTTTTTTTTTTTGAAAAAAGAACCATATTAATTATGGGTCCAGGTGTCCATTGGCTTATGCAAATTCAACAATAAAATCAAAGCAGTTTTAATTCGTTATTTTAAGTTTGTTTTGAAATGTTAGTATTGGGGGCATGTTGCTTCTCCTTAGAAAATTGAAACTCTTGAGCAAGATGAAATTTTTTTTTTCATAGACTCAGCCTTTTTCTCGTGTCTTTAAGGGTGAGAAGGTGCTATGGATTTGCAAAAATAATAAGTTTAACAAATGATGTTTTACATTTGAATGGATGTTCTTTAATACTTTAATTTTTTAACTCAATGTTGCTAATTTAATTCATATTTTAGCAATAAATTCTCCCTTTGTGTTTTTATTAATATTGCTGAATACACATTATGATTCTTTCATCTTTTGCACAAATCCATTTTGAATTATTAGGAGTAGACTATAGTTTGTCAAGTTAACAGTAGTGCGCAAGTAGAGCCAGAGGATAAGTTCCCCACTAAATCATTCAATTTTGTTTTTAAAAAAATTGGAGACTCAGCAACAGTACAGTTGCCTTCAGTTTATGAGGTTTTAATGTTTTTTCTAATATGAACTTATTTTTTAAAAATGGCTTTCAATTAAAAATTGACTGTACATTAAATGGAGCATTCACAATTCTGGCATTTCAAAGCAATTTTCCCTTCAAGCTAAACTTGCGCAATAAATTTCTTTTGACTTGATTCAAATTTGAAAGAAATGAAATTCTTTGCTGTGCCCTTGCACTTAAGCACTTAAGTCTAGAACAATATAACTCACTCGACCTATTTTTAACCCTTACTCTCTTAACAGAAATCACAAGTGTGAGGGAATTTAAACCCTGATGATAACTTATAATGCAAGCTGTGTAAGGATTGACAGATTTAACAAGTGGTGATGTGGCCAGTTAATAACATCCTTGCACCAAAAAGATGAGGGTCTTACTCCAAAATTCGTGGTATGGTCTTTCAGACCCAGCCATGTTTTTTGCTCTGGGCAACTGCTATCAATGCCTAGTACAGGGTTCACTAGGCATAATGGTCAAGAATAAGTAGGAAGACTGAAAAAAACCAAAATGGCTTCATACAGATTCTACCAGGTGGGCCAAGGGCAGCAGAGACAGCGTCCCAAAGAAACGTCTGGTGTTGGGCTTGCTTCTAATTGCCTTATCAGTCACCATCCCCTCTCCCTCCACTGTTTAGTCATGATCCCTGTCTTGCTTGCATTACCCTCTTCCAATGGTATAAGGTATTACCAAATTTGTTCAGAGATCTGGTCTGACTTGGGAATAAAAATATCCCAGGTTTACACTTGCCAGCCTGACAGTTATTTTTCTCCCTGTATTAAAATTCAGCTACTACTTTTGAAGTAAAAGTTCACTCAACTGTGACATTATGTAAATGCCTTAAAGGTTCATTAAGGAAACTATTGTAACTAATCTGAAGAAGGGTCTGGGCCCGAAACGTCAGCCTTCCTGCTCCTCTGATGCTGCTTGGCCTGCTGTGTTCATCCAGCTCTACACCTTGTTATCTCTATAACTAATCTGCATGACTGTTTTCAACAAAGAATTTGTAATACTGTCTCTAGTGACTTAAAGCTGTTTTACAGGAAGTTTTAAAGTTACCTGTGTCATTATTATCTAGTTTGTAAAATGTGTCTGTGGGAATATATACAAGTAAATGTACTCTGACTTGAAGTGAATGGGCAGCTACTGGAAACTTTTAAAAATGTTAACATGCTACTGTTTACAACTTGTAAATTTGGTGCTCGATCCTCTTGCAAGAGTGATAGTTTTGAAATCTGGTGGAAAAGAAAATAAAAATTACAATGAATTTCTTTTGCTTTTTTCTGTTTTGAATTTTACACTAGAAATGTTACATGTTCATTGACCTGTGTCAATCTTTGAATGCATCTGGGCAATGTCTGATCACACAGTGGTACTAGCATTCGTGATTTGCTGAGGATGTGGGTGTTACTGGCTGGGCCTGCATTTATAGCCCATCCCTAGTTGCCATGAAGAAGGTGATGTTCAGCTACCTTCTTGAACTGCTATAGTCCATTTGATGTAGGTACACCCACAATGCTGTTAGTGAGGTGGTTCCAGGGTTTTGACCCAGCATCACTGAAGGAATTACAATATATTTCCAAGTTGGGATGGTGAGTGGCTTGGAGGGGAACTTGCAGGTGGTGGTGTTCCTATGTAACTGCTGCTGTTGTCCTTTTAGATTGTGGTGGTCGTAAATTTGGAAAGTGATGTCTTAAAAAGCCTGCCGAACTTCAAGCTAAGCAAGATCATTCACATTTTCTGTGCGTGGATTGATTTTATCTGCTGGTTTTTGTACTAAAACTGCTAGCAAAATGAATCAGAACTTTATTTTGCCACACCAGTGAGATGATTTTGTAATGTTTATTTTTGATTTCATACATCAGAGAGTAAAAGTAACAATTCTGATCTTTTCACATGAGACCTGTATAGTTTCTTTGAAGTTTGGAAGTATTAGGGAGTACCAAGCTTAATATTAAAAGAGAAAAACAGGTTGAAGTAGCATCAGAGGAATATCTTATTCTGTATTATGTACCTAGCTGTTCTTTCATTTTATGACAGCTTTGATATTTTCATACTTAAGCAGTACAATTTGCCATTAACCTATTCCAACAGATCTAAAGGATTCTGTGAAGCTGTGGTTGCACCTTTACTCTCATTTACTGTTGGGTTTAGTATTAAGGTTACGCTGCAACTTTTGGAGTAAGCTTATTCTGCTTTTTAGGAAATGTCACTTTAAGACCATAAGACATAGGAGCAGAAATTAGACCATTCAGCCCATCGAATCTGCTCCACCATTCAATCATGGCTGATAAGTTCCCCAACCCCATTCTCCCGCTTTCTCCCTTAACCCTTGATCCCCTTGATAATCGAGAACCTATCTATCTCAGTCTTAAATGTACTCAGTGACCTGGCCTCCACAGCCTTCTGTGCAGTGAATTCCATAGATTCACCACTCTCTGGCTGAAGAAATTTCTTCTTGTCTCCGTTCTAAAAGGTCTTCCCTTTACTCTAAGGCTGTGCCCTTGGGTCCTAGTCTCTCCTATGAACGGAAGCATCTTCCCCAACATCCATTCTCTCCAGGCCATTCAATATTCTGTAAGTTTCAATTAGATCCCCCCTCATCCTTCTAAACTGCAATGAGTATAGTCCCAGAGTCCTCAAACGTTCCTCATATGTTAAGCTTTTCATTCCTGGGACCATTCTCATGAACCTCCTCTGAAACTGCTCCAGGGCCAGTACATCCTTCCTGAGATGTGGGGCCCAGGGAGAAAAACTGCTATTTTTGTAATAGTACTTTCAAAACAGGTTCTTAAACTTGTTCTGGAGTAGAAGATCTATCCTGACCTTAAACTACTAGTTTGTTTGTAAATGTGCTTGTGATGCTGCTATACTGAGAACAAGGCTGATGGCTTATATTTGCTCATTGGTAGATGTCTTGAATTCTGCTTGGCTAACTTCTCTTCCCTGAAATGCTTTTTTAAACTAGTTACCTTTTTCGTGACAGAAGTAGGGAACAGCTTTAATGGTCATTTCTTCACAAATTATTGTGTTTTAAAATTCTGTTCCACAAGATGCTGTAGTTAATTTCAGAACACTGCATTCCCACTTTTGCAAATCCGATGCCATAACCACTGCACTACCACACTGTTAGGAAGAGGAGGCGACCATTTGGCTTTTCAAGTCTGTTCTGTCATTCGGTTAGGCTGAGCTGCCTTTCAACTCCAATTGTCTACCTTTTCTTTTGATAATCTTTAATAACTACAAAAATTTATCAATACTCAACTTTGAAACTTTCAATCAATTCCCAGACCTCTCCGCAAACTTCTGGAGAACAGAGTTCCAGATTTCCACTACTCTTTAAATGAAAAATGCTTCCTGACATCATCTCTGCAAGTTCCTGCTGTAACAAGAAGGTTATTGCTCTTTGTTCTGGATGTATGCTATTATAAAGGTTACATTTCTAAATTATAAAAAAATCTTAGTGAAAATGAGGCAAGGCCTGACCATAGTTCACATTTCATATTGTACGTCACTAACCTTACCTAAGGAATAGAAAAGCAAATATGAAGCTGTCTTTGCAGTCATTCAAAAATGTTAAGGGCATATAAAATGTTTCTTCAGCTAAGAGTTCAATTTGGCAAACTGGCTTGTATGAGATCAAAATAACGCACCTCCTTCTGTGAAAGTACCATTATTGTGCAAAAACTACATTTTCTGATGTGAGAACATTTTTGCTAAATAACACTGAATTATTATAGGTTTAATCTGATATCTCAATTCTGTTGCAGTAAGTTCTGCTATCATTTAATTCACAGAAACATGTCAGACGTTTGGAGACTGAATAGCTTAAACCACAGCATGTTTTTAAATGCATACTTAATTGGACAAAGGAATGAGATGAAAATTCTATACGTGATAGTGCTCCTGATTGTTAGGTCGTACCAATCTAAAATGTCCTGTTGGATCAGGAAGATACCACCTTTCCCAAAATTCCACGTGAGCCACGGGATAATCCCAGGGTTTATACCTTCCATTCCAATGTAGTAGTTTAGCTTCAGAAAGGAAGTGTTCTGAATATCTGGCATCAGGACTCCAGCCTACAGAAAAACAATTTTAAAAAGTACAGAAATTAGACTCAAGCTACTCCATGGCTGGAAATGTAAAACTGAAAAATGTCTTCCATTTACTAAATCTATTACATGGAACACCTCTTGGGATTATACTTTTTCGCACTAGGTATTTTACAATCCTTTAATCACGTCATAAACTTTGTTTTAATCAAAGTGATCTTTGTTTCTTCTTGAGATTTTTCCAGCAGGTACATTTTTGCCAAGATTTTATTCTGCTGCGATATGACTGATAATAAATTCATGATAATTGTTCAGTTTTTTTCTTGATGTACGTCTTAAGAGTTTGTTTCTCTGATGTGATTAATTTTTCACCATATTTTCAAAGCTTGTGCTGTAAGTGAATGCAGTATTTAGTATTTACATATTTAGTCAGTAAAAGTTGAATGATTGAAACACCTGTTTTTAATATCCGGCTAAGACTGGATACAGACTTTGTTTTGTTTTCTGTCAATTTTAAAAGTGTAATGTCTACGTTTGCTTATTTTTAATATTATCATTTAGCCAGAATTGTAACTTGCTTCCACATAATGTGTCCCCCCACTTCAGCTATCAGAGATGTGTGTCATATTTGTTAGCGTTATATGCAGCCAATTTGCAGGGTTCTTTTAAAAAAAATTGTTCTTTGTCTACTTTTCTGTTTACCATTGATATTTCATACAAGATCAGACTTTCTAAATTGCAAGTTTGTATCACATGTTCAATAAATTTCAGATTCAAACTACCTCTTCCTGATCCAGGTCAGTCGAGTTGTCTCGGTCTCGGTTTGGTAAAATTACTTGCCCAAAATAGTTTTAATTCTTGCCTCAGTGCTTCTCTATGTTGCTTTGCTGATTACCCAGCACTCATTTGGTCAGTAATTGGTGTGATGTAGCTTTCCAGGATTCTCTGCTTTGTTGTCATGGCTAACTTTACGTTGATCATTTCTTTTTCATTATTTGAAATGTATCTTTGACATTCCAATGTATTGACTTATCTTTGTCATATGTTATGTCCAATGTTAACATTATTCCTAGATAACAAAATCCGTCTGATATTTTCATTTTTCACTCTGATAATGCATATAGTATAATTTCTGTTTGGATACTAAGAGACACTTGGTTTTCTTACAATTTACATTCAGCTCTTTCTCCTCACTTCCATTCATTGCTCTATCACCAACCTTAACTTTTACTAAGTTGGTTTCTGTAAGGTGTGATCAAGTTCTGACACTTGGCATCTACATTAAAAATGGCTTCCAAAGGAACCTGAAGCAAGATACAGTGGCCCTGGATCTCACAACTGTATTATGGCATACTGAATTTTCCAGATTGCTTTAACTTGGGTTGGGACAGTTGTTGAAACACTCCTTCACAACAGAAGATTTAGAGTCCACTTTGGACAATAAGTACATGGAGAAGACTAGCCAACAGACTACACCAAGCTCCCCACCCTGTTCCAACTTATATACGAATAAGCTGTCAACAACCAAGTTCCGCATGTTCTACTATGCTAGTAACATTTTAAGCACTATCCTTCTGTACCATAGAACAGATACTTAACAAATATGTTACAAAAATGATAGGCAACTGCAGTACATGATGTCTCATATTGATCTCTCCAAATCCATGCCTCCCTTACTTGATTACTTTTTAACAACTTGTGCTTTTCAATGTGTTCATCAAGCAGATCACCAAAATTCTTTCAGCACTCTGCCTGGCAGAGTCAGAAAGTTACAAGTCCCAAATCTTCCTAGATTTCAGCATGTAGTTGAGGCTGACTCTTGAGTACGGTATTGAGGAAATTCTTTTTTTAAATTATTTGTGAATTAGCTCTCTGTATGCCTATTTAGGTGGATCTAAAAATATCCTGTGGCACAATGTATAAGAAAAGCAGGGAGTTACCCTCGCCAGAACTCAAATCAAAATGAGTTAATTGATGTTTGTAGGATCTCGGTTCCATGAAAATTGGCTGCTGTTTTAGCTTGCAAAATAACACTCTCTATACCTCCAAGTTAATTCACGAGCTGTGTGGCACTCTGGGATGTGCAGTAGTTGTGAAAGGTGCTATGTAGTTGGAAGTTTTTTTTTCCCCAAATACTTCCAGTTTTAATTTGCTAAAAACTTCTGGTGAATGTTTGGCTAGCACAAGGAAAACTGTGTGTTTTTAAAGCTGTGGGAGAAATCTGGTGAACAACTTAAAACTATTGTATGTTCCTGGCTGTGTCCCCTGCATGTACGTTGTAAACAGTCTGCCACATATCACAAACTACCAGCTAAATATTATTAGCAGCTGTGTGATCAGTGATCTGAAGGCTATTCTTTTAGAGAATCCACTGATCTGTATTCCATTGATTGGTGGGTTACGAAAGGGGAATGTGCTCCTCCACCAAAGGCAATGTACACAAACTTCAACCCCATTTATCTTAAAAACTGCATGAGTCACATAAGTATTTTAATTCATTGCAACTTCAGTCAAATTGTTATGACTTCCAAATTAAGTCCAGTAAGTAAAATCTAATTCAACTGTGTTGCAAAATACCATTTTTTAAACCTCCATTCAAAACTTCATAGAGGTAGTGAACAGAGCAAGAATAGGTCTTAAATAAAAACCGAAAGAACTGCGGATGCTGTAAATCAGAAACAAAACCAAAGTTGCTGGTAAAGCCCAGGAGGTCTGGCAGCACCTGTGAAGGGAAAAAACAGAGTTAACGTTTCGGGTCCGGTGAGCCTTCTTCAGAACTCTGAATAGGTCTTACCGAGGTGTCGAATATGCCATAAAGGGTTCAATAAGGAGTGTTTGTTGTGAAATACTATTAACATAGGAGGGGTCACTACTCCTTCGGCTAGTGCACTGCTGTACAGATTCTCTCTATAAATGAAAAGAAACTCAATGAATGAGAAAAACATACAGGCAACATTTTCATATACTGAGATAAACCCATTTCTAGTACTATAATTTAAAAAGTATACTAGAAAATATTGCAAACCATATTTGCAAAATAGATATTATTTGACACGTAATTAGAAACAAAGATTTTCATCCTAGGATTAAAATCACTGCAAGTCTCATCTGTCTCTAATACTGTAACCTCCTCCAGCCCAACAAACCTTCATTTCTGGCCTCCTGCACATCCCAATATTCCTGTTTTCCACCACTGATGCCCATAACTTCTGCTGCTTTTGCCCTTAAGCCACAGAATTTCCTCCTTAAACCTCTCCGCATTTCTACTCCTGCCTTTAAGATTGACTTTAAAACCTAGCTCCTTTCCTGTACTAATACCTCCATGTGGGGCCCAGTGTCAAATATTGTCTGGTAAAACCTCTAGCATACTGACATATTATACTAGGTTAAAAGGCTGTACTAAGTATTGAGAACTTTAGAAGATGTTTACATATGATTTATTTTTAATTTGTTTCTGATTTATTTTTGTTTTCTGATTTTCTTTTTTGGAAGGACATGTTACTTCTACCACTGTGAACCAAATCGATTTGAAATATTTGCAAGGTTCCCCGAATTTTCAAAAATTGGGATTTTGAGTTGAAAGTGACAATTATTATGGGCTGCATTGCTGGGTCAATAATTCTCAATGACATTGCATTGTTGCTGCACTGGCGCCAATGTTTCAGTGCAAGTACAATGGGTCAAATGGCATCCTGTGCCATATAATTCTATGTAAATAGAAAATAAATGGGATCCAGTCCTTCAGCTTTCTCTGTCACCTCTAAATACTACTAACAGTTACCACTGTTTCCATTTTCCATTAAGATGGCAGTGGAGTTGGGTTTCTGAGCCCGGGGCTCATCTGCTTTTCTTTTTGTTCCTTTTCTTCTATTTTATTTTACTTACTTCTTGGTGAAGAGCTCAGTCATGGCAACGGCATCTATGGTGGTGAATGGGCCTAGCAGCACAGGCTTGTGTCAGTGACATCAGAGGCAGGTCCGGGTTCCTGGTGGTTTCTGCATCATTGAGGCGGTCCTAACCCTGACTCATGGCTGCTGCGGGTTTGGGTTTCCAGCATCTGCCTTCAGCGCAGATTCATGAAAGCAGAGGCAGGTTTGGGCCCATTACGAGACCCGGCAGAATCAGCAGCGGCTGCGTTGGCGAGTTGGGCCTGAAGCAGAATCAAGTTTGGGACAGTGCAGTACCAAGCAGCACTGGTAGCGTCTGCTTTGGTGAGATCCAGCAAGGACTCTTGGTGGTGAGGGTGCTGGTGGAGGCAAGATGGCGCCAAAGAGTTGGCGACTCTTTTTCCAACAGCAGCGCACTGCAAAGGAGACGTGTTCCCAACCACCAGCCCACGGCCCATGAAGGAGCATTTAACAAGAAGGACTGTAAAGTTGAACACTTTCTGTATTTCTTCATTTTTCTTTATATTCTATGGTTTTGGTTTCTATCTTGTACTTAAAGTTGGTGTTGGACAGTGGCAACACTGTACAACACTTTTTGCTGTATTTTGTAAGCAGATACACATGACAATAAATAAATCAAACTGACTCAACTTTATAGGAAGACAGTGGCAGCATCACTGGCTAGTGAGCCAAAGGTACAGCTCTGAGGATGTGGGTTCAGTTCCCCCCACAGCACCTTTATCTTGTCTGGAACTCATGTGACTCTTGACCCACAATGGTTGGCTCTTAACTGCCCTCTGAAATGGACTAGCAATCTATTCAGTTCAAGGGGAATTAGGGATGGGCAACAAATGCCAGTGATGTCCACATCCTGGGAATGCAGAAAAGAATTATACCACATGTTTATTCTATTGGCTTACAGCATCTCCATGCTATAATAGGGAGATGTGGATAACTGATTGACAGCCCCTATGTAAACTGCTAGCTTTAGCCTAAGAGACACATATTGCACAAAGGAAAATAAAGAGGAGAAAACAATCCTTGGCTTCTAGCAAAATTAATTCCCGACAAAAAGTTAAGAAGTAGCACACAGGAAGGTTTCAGTTCTTAACATCTGTCTTTCTGGATGATTCAAATTAAATAGTTGTAAGCAAACAAAACTAAACTTAAAAAAGACTAAAATGAAAATTCTAACACTTGCCTGAGCAGCATAAAATACTGGAGCAGGAGTAGGCCATTCAGCCCTTCAAGCCTATTTGACATTCAATGTGATCGTGCTTAATCATCCAACTATCCTGTTTCTGCTTTCTCTGCATACCCTTTGATCCCTTTAGCCCCAACAACTATATGTAACTCTTTCTTGCAAAATATTCAATGGTTTGACCCCAACCGCTTTCTGTGGCAGAGAATTCCACAGGCTCAATGCTCTCTGGGTAACAAAATTGCTCCTCACCTCAGACTTACATGGCCTTACCTGAACCGTCACACTGTGACCAGTGATTTTGGACTCCCTGATCATCAGGAACATCCTGTGTTTACCCTGTCTAGTCCTGTTTGAATTTTATAGTTTCTATGAGGTCACCCCTCATTCTTCTAAACTCCAGTGAATAGAATCCCTACAGTGTGGAAGCAGGCCAATAGACCCATCAACTCTACACCAACCCTCTGAAGACCATTTCACACAGACCTATCCCATCTCTGTAACCCTGCATTTCCCATGGCTAATCCACCTAGCCTGCACATTATGGGCAATTTAGCATAGCTGATCCACTTAACCTGCATCTTTAGACTACAGCACCCAGAAAAAAAACCTATGCAGACACAGGGAGAATGTGCAAACTCCACACAGACAGTCACCCAAGGCTAGTGTTGAACCCAGGTCCCTGGCACTGTGAGGCAGCAGTGCTAACCACTGAGCCACTGTGTCACCCCCAATCTAGTCTGTCTTCATAGTCACAGAAACTGCAGCAGAAACTTGACATACAGCCAGAAACGTGCTCAAAGATATCCAACAGCCCTGCCACAAAATTTCAACTTGAGTTTTCACTTTTTTTAAATACAGCAACAAATCCCTGCACATCTTAAGCAGTAGAAGGAAAATGTTAAGGAAATGAATTGCCTCCAGCTAAGTGGCTGTATTATTGAGCTTATAATCAAGGAAGCATTACTGAAAGCCGAGCACCTGATTTGGATTAAGGTTTTTTACTGGGATTTACTTTGAGCTCTAGGCAGGCTATATATTCAAATATATACTAATATATTTAAAATAATGTATCTGTACTCTCGAATGTCTTACCCTCATTGCAGCTCTGTCTCCAATTTCTATAATGGGAAACGTCTGTGCAAAACTAGTCATGCTGTAATTACATCCTTTTCCCAAGGGCATTACAATACTACCACTGTTAGGATAGTGCATTGAAGCAGGACAAGTTTAAATATCAGTCTCCATAATGCATGTAGATGTATGAATTTATTATATGTACACACAGTAGGAGGGAATCTATAATTCTAAAATGGGAATCAATTATATTTGCATACCATGGTCCAATTAACACCATAACCTCAAACCGACACAATGCAAATGCCTCAGAAAGCAAGGCTGTGACTCCACTGATATTGGCGGACCTATTAACGGTTCACTGAACCATACAAAGTGAAACATCAACCCATTGTTGTGTACCAAGGTATAAATACACAAGAAAAGAACAGGGCTTACTCTACATTGGCGACTAGCCATTTTTCCAACTGCTTAGTAATCCGTTGTCGTTTCCATTCTGTAACATTTGCAACAAACACACCAACATTAAAGGAACACGTCGTGGGATTTATCCCTAGACCTCTAACAGTTGGCTTCCGGTAATCCAAATGTCCCATAAATGTGGTCTGGAAAGATAAAGAGACAAAGTTATAATTGTAGTGACTAAAAGATAATGCAAACTAAAGGAATCTGTTCTGTGATATAAAGGTACACTTTCAATATAGGTGCATGCTTTATTGTTACTGATGCCAGTTTAGGTCACCTGCATTCCCATAGTCCTGACCATCTCATGAGTTGAGGTCAGATCACAGTCTGTTGAGAAGGCAGCAGCATGGCCAGGCTTCAGCACAGTGTCGTACAAGTCCTGGATATCACCTGCAGTTAAAATCAGTCCAAATTCAAATTACAAGGTATAGCTACAAAGAGTCAGTCAGCAGTTTAGCCAAAACATATCTGTCAATTACTGTAATATTAAAAAAAGCATGCAAGTGGATAATCAGACCTGATCAGATCACGTAGCAAGAGCAGGCTTGATGGGCTGAATGGCCTACTCCTGCTCCTATGTTCCTTTAAGAGCTGGGCAAATGGAAGGTGGAAGAATTGGAGAAACCAAATAATTGAGATGTATACAGAAATTGTAGTGCACCAAAATCTACAAACATCGTCAGCATTTCAGAATCCATTAAACTGGAATGGAAATAAATCATCTTCAATCCTGAGGGACAGGCTCAGAGAGGAGGGTTACAAGGATATCTCCTGAGTTTCAAATGGGAAGATCTTCAGCTACGACTTCAAAAGTGTAAGATTAGCAAGTTAATAACACCATCTTCTAGCACTGCATATAGACTGGTCTCACATTTTATAATTTCTTCTGGGAATGACTTCATCTATTCTCCTGGGAGATTTTTAAAAATTCGTTCATGGCATCACTAGCTGGGCCATTCTGAGTTGCCCTTAAGAAGGTGGCGTTGGTGACTTACCTTCTTGAACAGCTGCAGTCCACAGGCTGTGCTGTTAGGGAGGGAATTGCCAGGATTTTGACCCAGCAACAGTGAAAGAACAGCAATATGTTTTCCAAGTCAGGATGGTGAGTGTCTTGGAGGCAAACTTGCAAATGCTGGTATTCCCATGTATCTACTTCCCTTTTCTTCTAGATGGAAGTTGTGGGTTTGGAAGGAGCTGTCTAAGGAACCTCAGTGAAATTCTGCAGTGCATCTTGTAGATGGTGCACACTGCTGCTACTGAGCTTCGATGGTGGAAAGAGTGAAGACTTTGTGGGTGTGATGCCATTCAAGTAGGCGACTTTGTCCTGGATGGTGTCAATATTCTTTTGTTTTGTTGGAGTTGCACCCATCCAGACAAGTGGGGAGAACTCCATTATACTCCTGAGTTGTGTCTCATAGATGGTGGGCAGGCTTTAGGGAATCAGGTGGTGAGTTACTTGCTGTTGGATTCCTGGCTCCTATAACTACTGTATGTATATGGCTAGTCTAATTGGCCAATAGTAACCCCCAGGATGTTGATAGTGGCAGATTCAGTGATGGTAATACCATTGAATGCAAGGGACAATGGTTTGAATCTCTCTTGTTGGAACTGTCATTGCCTGGCATTTGTAATTTGCCCCTTGTCAGCCCAAGCCTGGATATTGTCCAGGTCTTCCTGCATTTCGACCTGGTTCAGTATCTGAAGAGTCACAATTGGTGCTAAATATTGCAGTATCACCGGCGAATGTTCCCACGTCTGGCCTTGTGGTGTAGGGAAGGTCATTGATGAAGCAGCTGAAGATGGTTTGGCCTAAGACACTGCCCTGAGGAACTCCTGCAGAGTTGTGCTGGAGCAGAAATGACATCCTTGATGTCAAGGGCTGTCATTCTCACCTCACTTAACCTCTGAAATTCGGTTCTTTTGCCCATGTTTGAACCAAGGCTGTAATGAGGTGAGGAGCTGAGTGGCCCTGGTGGAACTCAAACCGGGCGTCACTGAGCAGGTTATTGCTGAGCAGATGCTGCTTGAAAACACTGTTAGTGACACCTTCCATCACTGAGTATCTGGATATTACCTGATTGGCATAATAGATTATCTAACAGCATGGTGTTCAAGAGATTTTTTAAAAAATATATTTTAATCAACCTGTTCAGAGATGCAATTACATACCTCTGGGGCAGTTGGGATTTTAAACCAGGCTTCCTGGGGTACAGACAATATCACTGTGCCACAAGAACTCTTGAGCTGAAGAGATAATGTGACATCTATATTTACAAATCTCAAGATGAGCTATGCTTTGCTAAACATACTCTGTTCATAAACTTGGAAGCAGCCTTTTTGATAAATTGAAACTTTAGTCACCTCAAGATCCTCCAGCACGCTCTTTGCTGTCGTTTTGAGCAACAGCCTCTGCCAACTCCAGTTCCTGCAAAATCACTGCCCATGTGTCCACCCTGCATTAAATTCTGCTTAACACTACATCTTTGCTATCTCCAGCAGTTCCCTATACCCTTAGAAACCTTGAAATGGCAATCCTTATTTACCAATCTCATCATTAAGATGCTAATGCCTGAGCATGCAAACGTCTCTAATGGGATCATTTGGACTGACATACACACACACTTTAATTTGTTACTTCTTCCCTCCCACATCTGAAAATCCCATTAGAAGAGATTTACCAGGATGTTGCTGGGTATGGAAGGTTTGAGTTATAAAGAAAAGCTGGATAGGCTGGCACTTTTTTCACCAGAGCATAGAAGGTTGAGAGGCGACCTTATAGATGTTTACAAAATAATGAGGGGTATTGATAGAGTTAATAGTAGTTGTCTTTTCCCAAGGGTGACGCTTTCAAGACTAGGGGGCACATTTCAAGGTGAGAGGAGAGAGCTTTAAAAAGATATGAGGGGCAATTCTTTTACACAGAGGGTGGTTCACAGTTGGAATGAACATCCTGAGGAAGTGGGGGATGCAGGTACAGTTACAACGTTTAAAAGACACTCAGATAAGTACATGAATAGGAAGGGTTTGGAGGGATTTGGGCCAGGAGCAGGCAGGTGGGACTAGTTTAGTTTGGGATTACACTGAAGGGTCTGTTTCTGTTCTGTATGACTCTGTGACCCTGTAGCTCTTTTCAACCACACTTTCAGTCCACCCCCTCTGCTGTGTGACCCCAGAAGGAAAACATATAAATGAGATATGAAAACGGTCCAATGCATCTTATTTACTTCACAATGGAGCTCCAGTGCAACAATTTTTAGTAGAACTAGTTTTGTCCTCTGGGAAGCTCCTTGTGACATTATTTAGAAAGAAAGGTCTACAGGGAACGTTTTTATATGACAGAATGTGTCGTCGTGTTCTGAAATAAACTTTCTATTCTTCACTCTTTTCTGCGATGTCAGTGCCACTGGCAAGGCCAACATTCATTCCCCATCCTTAATTGCCCTTGAACTGAGGCCATTTCAGACGGCAGTTAACAGTCCCCTACATTACTGCAGGTCTGGGGTAGGTAAGGGTGGCAGGTTTGATTTCCTTCCCTAAAGGACATTAGTGAACCGGGTGAGCTTTTAAAATTCATCAGTGCTGATTTATTTAGTTGAATTAAAAGTTTAGCAGATATATTAGAATTTTAACCTATGACTCCAGAGTAACCTGTATGGATTACTAGTTGAGTGACATTTCCACATCTTCTCCCACCGTCTGAGTGGATGGGAGAAGCAGGCTTAATATTTATTTCAAAAGAAAATTGCACACATTTTTGAAGGGAAAATATTACAAAGTTACAGAGAGAGATCAGAGAAGCCACCTGTTTTTGAATTGAAACCTATGCAAAGTAGCTCGCTTGTGCGTAATGTAGCAGAGACGGCCAACTGAATGCTCCCACCAGGTTCTGCTTCAATGCTGCCATTTTTAATGACCAACACTAGCTCACCTTTCCCAGTTAAGAGCCAATGTGCTGCTAAGTAGGGGCATGGCAATGCTGGCTGAGTTGCCCAGGTTCCATACAGACAGTACTCCATTCACGCATCATTCATGCTGCACATGCCTACACATACCGAGTACCAGAGTTTCGCATTTACTTCCGATCATGGTCAAGCAGAAGGACTACATGCGGTGCAGATACACCAGAATTCTACTGCCACAAAAAAAATTTTTAAAGTATAAGCCCAACTGTGTGGATTGGACTTGTAGCTCATTGAGGCTATAAAAGGGAATGGAATTATGTTATTTCAGCAAATTATAGGGTTTGACAGGGTGCGTAAAGAGAATCTATTTCCTCTGGTGAAGAGTACCAAACAAGGTGGCAGAATTTTAAAATTAGAACAAGGGTTAACACGAGGGGAGGGTGGACTTCCTCACACAGAAGGTAGCAGAAAATTGGAACTCCCTCTCTCAAAAGGTTGTTGAGCTAGGGAGCAATTGAAAATGTTAAAACTGAAATTAATAGGACTTGTTAGTGAAGGGAATCAAGATTCTGGAGCCAAAGCAGGGAATTGGAGTTAGGGGACAGTCCAGCCATGATCTCATTGAATAATAGAACAGGCTCGAGGTTGCTGAATAGTCTTATTCCCTTCCCTTTGAGTGTATAATGATGCTGTGGTTTTCAAAGTCCAGCATACTAAAGACACTGAATGACTCATTTATGATGTGTGAACCCACCCTGACTTGTTATGTTATAATAGAAGTGCTATGAAAATTTTGACCATCTAGAAAATACCTTGTATAATAACATCATCGTCCAGGTATATCACCTTTTCATGATCACGAATAAGATATGGAATGAAGTATCGGACAAAGTTGAGCTGAAATAGAAAGACATTCTGTCAAATGGCAACACTACGTGAAAATAACTGAAGAAAGGTCAGCGAGAGAAACATGAAGCAAGTCAGGATCACTGTGAAGCAGATCAGGAGAAGCAAAAATCAGACTGGGATCACCACGAGGCAGACTGGCATCAGTGTGAGGCAGATTGGGATCACCGTGAGGCAGACTGGGATGACCGTGAGGCAGACTGGGATCAGTGTGAAGCAGATTGAGATCAGTGTGAAGCAGATTGGGATCACTGAAAAAGAGAAGAAAGTAAATCAAACAGCAGTGTCATAGAAAGCCACGAGTTGATCGGTGAATTTTGTAGCTTTGTTTATTTCTCTCCAAAGTTAAACTAAAGTGCTAGGAAATTAGAAGTTTTTTGACAATGGGATTGTGTAACTTCTAATATTGCATGCAGTTCTGGTCACTACCAGAAGGACATGGTTTCTTTGGTGATAATGCAGAGAAGGTTTACCAGAATGTTGTTTGGTCTGGAGGGTTATAGTTATGAGGAGAGGTTGGATAAATTCAGATTGTTTTCACTGGAAAGGCGGAATCTGAGGGATGACCTGATAGAGGTCTACAAAATCATGAAAGACATAAGGAGGGTGGACAGTCAGAGGCTTCTTCCTCAGGTGGAAAGGTCAACTATGAGGGGGCACAGATTCATGGTGAGAGGGGTAATATTTAAGGGAGAAGTGTAGGGAAAATTTTTCACGCAGAGGATGCACTGCCAGTGGAGGTGGTGGAAGTGGACACGTTAGCAATGTTTAAGATATATCTTGATAGACACATGAACAGGAGGTGAATAGAGGGATGGATACTGCTCATGGGCAATAAGTTGTGGGTCTAATAAGTATTAGGAATCTTGGTGAGCTGAAGGGCCCGTTCCTGTGCTGTATTGTATTGTGCTGTGTAATACATTTCAATCAATCTCCCTGTATTTAAGTGATGACAGAAGATAAGAATTGAATGCCTGTTAAGTCTGTACTTTTTGCAAGTAATAGACTTCATTATCTAAGACAAACAGAAATGGCAGGGCAGCTTCAACTCCCGGCATTTTTAGGACAAACCTTCTCTCTTTGACAGTTGTGTAAATTTTGGATCCCTCTACCTCAGAAGACAATACAGGCGCAGTCATTACATTTTTTAAGCCAGAGGTAGGTTGATTCTTCCTAACCAGTGGAATCAAGGGTTATTGTGGGTCAGTGGGAATGTGGAACTCAAACAACAAACACAGCCATGATCTTATTGAGTAGCAGGACAGGCTCAATGGGCTCAATGGCCTATTCATAATTCATATGTTTTGAGGAGCATGTTAAGTAAATCTGTGACACGGGTGTAGGCTTTGTGAAAGGTGTCCCAGAGATTTATCCCCACCCTATTATTCCGGGCTCGAATCATTCGTACTCACAGGTTTCAGTAACTCGGGTCTTGCTGAGTCTGGTCTCACTTTCCCCTGCAGTATTGCAGCATTGAATTCCATCATTTTGTAGTGGATGCCTTTCAGCTTTGTATTTTCGATCCATTTGCTAATGGTAGGTGAGCGGGCAGGGGCGGTTGGACAGAAAACATAATTAACCTATTTATCTATCTGAAGAAATGATGATTCGCAGAAGTGGAGGACAGCACGCAAAAGTAAAAGCCATAATAAGGTGATGAGAATTCTTGTTCCTTCATATAATGATATCAGGTTCCTTCACATCAGCTCTTCATCTGAACTTATCTCCATTCATCCCACTAAACCTAAATAACATGATCGCATTTTGTGTTATATTCAGAATCATAATGGATGTCAATGAATTATTATCATGTTTTTGGAGCAGCAGAGTGAAATGCTTCCTCCAATTTGTCAGGATTCCAACTTGTCAAAGCCAGTTGACTCAGTCATTTGATTTCCATTTAACTTCCATCTACCATAGAATCCACTTCTTGTTTAGTGTGGCCTGACCATTGGGAGTTAAGAGGCTGTCATTGGGTACATGATGAAAAAGGATGGGGGTCATTCCTAGGTGGCATTGTGGCAGAGTGGACTGCCCACCTCGTATAAAACCTGCCTGATTTTCAGCGATTGAATTAAGATTACATCATATTCACTGCACAGAAATAGGCCATTCAGCCCAACCAATCCATGTAAGCACTTTTCTCCTCCTTTTTCTTTTGTAGGATATGGGCACCACTGGCAATGTCAGGATTTATTTACCATCCTTAATTGCCCCTTGGACAGAGTACCTCCCTTGATGATTTTAAAGTGCGGTTAAAAGTCAACCGCATAGCTGGAGTCAGGAGTTACATATAGGCCATACCAGGAAAGGGTGACAGGTTTCCTTCCCTAATAATATTAGTGAACTAGGGGTGTTTTCTTTACGGTAATTGACAGTGGTTACACGGTTGACATTAGATTAACTTTTAATTCCAGACTTTTATTTATTTCAAATTTCACCATCTGCCATGATGTGGTTCAAACTGATGTCTCCACAACAATAGTCTGAGGTTCAGGATTACTACAGTAGTGACGTTTCCATAATACTTCCGTCTCCACATGTCCCTGAATCCACTTTGTCTTGATTGTTCATGGTTTGAGCACTTCTATCAAGTCTGCTCTCAACCGTCTCTGCTCTAAGGAGAACAATCCCATCTTCTCCAATCTTTCCACATCACTGTCTTCTCTAAAATCTTCATGGCCTACCTGAAGTGTTGTGTTCAGTTCTGAGCACCATACTCCAGTTGAGGCTGAACAAGTTTGTATGGGTTTGTCCTAGTTTCCTTGCTTTTGCTTTTGCTAGGCCTCTAAATGGAAAAGTCTAGGATCCCAAATGCCTCCCACATTTGATGATTTGCGAATCCATACCCCAAAGCCTCTCTTGTTTGCCTTTGGAATTGTATCCTTAATTCATATTGTTTTTCTTTGTTCTTCCTAGCAAAATGTAAGGTGGGTATGAACATTAATTTAACAAGAATTACTTTAACAAATAATTGTAACTTCTTGTCACAATGTAAAGGCTTTATTTTCCTAACAACCTCTTTAAAGAATTTCTGGTTATCTTAAATATCTGCCCTCCCACAGAGCTGTCTTCTCACCAGTTGGTAAAATTGTCACTCTTTCAGAGAATAAAAAAGACCTGAAATAACATGTATTAACAAGAATCTTACCTAATATGAACGAGGGAGTCTCTCAGTGTAATTATGTAGAAAATGATATTGGCATTAGTGTTGCTATAGATACTGTTGATTGTTGCAATTGTTCCACCCAATCGGTCTTCTGCAGCACAGATTATAATTGGTATCACATCGTCGGGAGCAGAATCATCAGAAGGAGGAACATTGCTCTGTTTCACAGTGTGGCCTGCATTGTGAACAGTTGGAGATTCAAGTTCTTCAGCTGAGTAGTAAATGTAGGTAATTAGGTCATTGAAAGGCAAGAGAGGGTAACGTTCACTGATTAATTGCCACAAGACACAGAAATTGACAGCACAGAAATATTCATTTCAAAATGTCCATTCCAGGATCCTATGTACCTTATATCATCTAATACTATAAGAATATCCTTTCTTCCTCAAGCACTTATCCAACTTCCCCTGAAATACATCTTGAGATAGGCTGGAAAAATACCACATTTTGTCAGAGCTTTTTCTTTTGTACTCATCAGGACAATTCACAAGAATACAAAAGTGATGGGGAAAGCATGTTTAGGATGGATGAGAAAAAAATGCTGATTGATTGGCAATATACTTCACTTTGATCGTTAAACTCAAATATGCAGCATTTCTTGTTTGAAATTCAGCGAAAGACTACCTCATTAAAAACCGAAAGATTAATTATGATCTATGAAGCCAGATTTCAGTCTGGGATCTGAATGATCCAGTAATAACTCATCTTGGATCATTACAGTCGTAGTTGGTGATGGTGAGGGGGATTGACACCATTCCCCGCAGCAAACACTGGCTGTGTTTCCTGCCTAGTGCCAGGATTTAGGACATCTTCTTAGGGGTGGAATGGTGGTGCAAGGGTCAATGGTTATGATCCAGTTCAGTACTTACAATGTAGGTAGAACTGGGAAAGAGGTTCCATGTAGAGAGTAAGGGAAGCTAGGCACTTAATTAAGAAGATTTAATGATTCTTAATGTTCCTGATTAACAGCATCCGCAGTTCTTTCGGTTTTGATGAAATTAAGAAGCACAACGTCAAAGGTTATAATCTTTGGATTATTACTTAACTGGTGTGCTGATTGACATTGGTACAAAACATTAGAGAGATGAATATATGGCTCAAAGACTGGTGTGAAAGAGTGGGTTCTAGGGCCATTTACACCAGTACTGGGGAAAGTGAGAGCTATACCATTGTGATGGTCTATGTCTGACCATGCTGGGGTCAGTGTTCTTGTGAACTGAATAAATAGGGAAGTAGAGGGGTTTCAAGTGAAATAGTGAGGGCAAGGAATCAGAAATGAAAAGAGCTGTTATAACAAAGAGTAGAGACAAGGTAAGTGAGGAAAATAGTAATATGGACAATTCGGATCAGACCCTGGCATGAAGGGGGCAGAGAGAAAACACTTAGAATACACAAACAACAAGACCAGATCGAGTTATAGAGTCATGAAGTCATACAGCATGGAAACAGACCCTTCAGTCTAACCAGTCCATGCTGGACATAATCCCAGCTAAACTAGCCCCACCTGCCTGCTTCTGGCCCATATCCCTCCAACCATTTCCTATTCATGTACTTATCTAAGTGTCCTTTAAACATTGTAACTGTGCCCGCATCCACCACTTCCTCAGGAATTTCAATCCGCACGTGAACCACCCTTTGTGTAAAAGAATTCCCCTCATATCTTTTTTAAATCTTTTCCTCTCACCTTAAAAATATGCGCCCTAGACTTGAAATCACCCATCGTGGGAAAAGACACCTACCATTAACCCTAACTATACTCCTCATGATTTTATAAGGTCACCTGTCAACATCCTATATTTAAAAAGTCCCAGCCTAACTAGCCTTTCTTTATAACTCAAACCTTCCATACCCAGCAACATCCTGGTAAATCTTTTCTGAACCCTCTCTAGCTGAAAGAAAAGGACAAACTAAAGCTCTGTATCTGAATATGTGTAGCATTCATAACAATGTACATGAACTGATATTTAAACAAATAAACAATGTTCTGACAGCCATTATAGAGACACTGCTACAGGATGACAAAGATTGGGTCTTCAATATTAAGGGGTATATGACATTCAACGTAAACAGAAGACTAGGTAAAGGTGGAGGGGTAGCACTGTTAATCAAGGATGACATTTGTGTAATAATTAGAGGCTGGGATATGGAATTGGGCTGCATGGAGATAAGGAATAGTCAGGGAACGGAGAAAGAACTCACTTGTGGGGTCGACAGGCTCTCTAACAGTAAGCACAACGTTGGACAAATTAGACAAGAAGAAACATTGTGTCCTTATGATAATGGGACAGCAATAATCATGGGTGATTTTAATCTACTTGTAAACTGGAAAATCCAGGTTGGCAATGGTAGCCTGGATGACAAGTTCATTGAATGCTTTTGAGATAGTTTCTTAGAGAGTTCCCACATTCTGGAACCAACCAGAGACCAGGATACTTGGAGATAGCAAGAACTGAAGACACTGGAGTCAGAGATAACACAGTGTAGAGCTGGAGGAACACAGCAGATCAGGCAGCATCAGAGGAGCAGGAAAGTCGACGGTTCTGATCGGGACCCTTCATCGGGACTGGTGAAGCGTGTAAACCCAAAACATCGACTTTCCTACTCCTCTGATGCTGCCTGACTTACTGTATTCCTCCACCTCCACACTGTAGAGACCAGGACACGCTGGACTTGATATTGTGTAATGTGACAGGTTTAATTATTTTTTTTTTAATTCATTCATGGGATGAGCGAGTTTTTTTATTGCCCATCCCTACTTACCCAGAGGCCAGTTAAGTGTCAACCACATTGCTGTGGGTCTGGAGTCACATGTAGGCCAGACCAGGTAAGGATGGCAGTTTCCTTTCCTAAAGGATATTAGTGACCCAGATGGGTTTTTCCTGACAATCAACAATGGATTCATGGTCATCATTAGACTCTTAATTCCAGATTTTTATTGAATTCAAATTCCACCATCTGTACAGCAGGATTCAAACCTGGGTCCCCAGAATGTTATCTGGGTCTCTGGATTAACAGTCCAGCGATAATACCACGAGGCCATTGCCTCCCCTAATTACTTCAGAGTAAAGGCACCCACAGGTGGCAGCAACCACAGTATGATGGAATTTTACATCCAGCTAGAAAGGGAGAAGATTTTGACTAAAACTAATGTTTTAAACCCCAAATGGGTCAATTATGTGGATTTCCAGAGGCATTTGCTAAGAATCCTACAATCACAGTTTTATGGTGCAGAAGGAAGCCATTCAGCCCATCAAATCTACTTCAGCTTTTCAAATGAGCATTATGACTTGGTTCTTCTACCTTTTTCCTGTACACTGTTTCAATGTAAATAACTATCCAATGCCCTCTTGAAAGCCTGAGCTGAATCGGCCTCCACGACACTTCCAGGGCATGCATTCCAGAACCTAATGACTCGGTGTCATTCTCCCATCACCTTGCTTTGTCTGCACATCACATTGTAAAACCGTTGCCTTTCATGTAATTTTTAAATCTTTCTCCTCTCACCTTAAAAATACGCCCCCCAGTCTTGAAATCCACCATCCTAAAAGAGTTGAAGGAATTTTATATTGAATTCCAAAGAGTTGATGAAAGTTTACTTGCCTGTTTAAAAAGAGTAGAGTGAGCTTTGCTCTGTATTTAAGCCAGTGCTGCCCCTATTCCAGGTGTGTCCCATGGACACGGTGTTGAGGGGACCTGACTTTTCCGTTTATATCCCATTGAAAAGAGTAGTTGGGAAGGAGAACAAGAACTGTGGCAGAGCTGACATCAAATTGTAAAATCCATCTGAATGTTAAATGGCTTCAAATCAAAATCACTGTATAATCTGGAATACCACCATTCCTAGAACCCAGATGAACCCCCTCCTGTAAACAACAGAGGAACACTCACCTGCTTCCCCTTTGTACGGTGACATTTTGTGAAATTTGTTGTAAAGGACCAGGCAAAATGTCAGAATAACTAGGAACAGCAAGCCCTGATTAACTTGAAAAAAACACGAAAAGTGAGAAAAAGACAAAGTATTTATCAAGGAAAGAGCAAATCCAAACAGATTAATCAGCACTTCACAAGTAAACAAAGCTCATTATGAAAAACCATGAATTTCTACAAAAATATTTAAAAGATATTAAAACTTTTATTTGTTTCATGAATATGTTATTTTATTGACGTTGTTAAGTTTAAATGCATTTTGAATTGACCAGAATATACACCAGAAAATTGTCCCTGGAGCTTGGGATGGTTATTGGCCCTACCTCCATACCAACAATGGCCTCTGAAATGTCCAGTATCAAAATAACACAAAATCAGGCTAGGTAGTTTATTATAGCAACAAATACAACAACAATGTGAATTTATCCAGCACCTTCCAGATCGTAGAAAGTCCCAAGTTGATTCCACTGGGGTGTTGTCAGATAAAGTTTTGACACCAAGCCACACTTGGAGATATTGGGGGCAATGATCAAAAGTTTGATCAAAGTGGAGAACTTTAAGAAGCGTCTTGAAACAGGAAAGTGAGGCAGAGGGGTTGGGGAGCTCGCTATACAGAGAGACTGCTGTGAATGGTGACGCAGTCATAGTTGGTGAGCCATGAAGGGGCCAGAGTTGGAGGAGTGCAGAGATCCAACAAAGCTATCAGGCTGCACGGCAGCGCTGTGTACTGGGACTGGTAAATGAGGATTTAGACATTTGTGCCTGTAGCCCAGCTCAGGTGGAATTATTGAGAATGGCCCAGGCACCTCATTACACAAATCTATTGAAAGCAGTAAGTTACTACAGGGGAGGATCAATCAGAGTCCAAGCAGCTCTTCCACACAGAATTATATAATGGCTACAATGGAACAGATCGCTTGGCCCTGTGTGAACATCTGGAGTTCTTCCACCACATCAGCAGTCATTCCTAAACTCATGTGCCTAGCTCCAATACCCCTTTAATTCTCATCCACTTTTCTAACCTCTTCTTTAATGCTGATAAAAGACTCCTGAGGGGTTTTGACAGGGTGGATGCTGACAGGATAGGGGAAATTATAACTGGGGACACAGGTTTAACAAAAGGGATCTCCCATTTAATAGATAAAGAGCTTTTCCATTTCTCTCAGAGGCTTATGAGTCTGTGGAATTATCTTCCTCAGATAGCTGTGGAGGCTGGGTCATTTAGTATTTCGAAACCAGAGGTAAATAGATCCAAACTTCTGAAGAGTTATACTGGACTCAAAACATTAACTCTGTTTCTCTCTCCACAAATACTGCCGGTTCCCCAGAGTTTCTCCAGCATTCTCTGCATTTGTTGGAGATAGATCCTTGACTGTCAAGGGTTATGGAGCAATCAGGAATGTGGATTTGAAGACACGAACAAATCAGCCAGAGTTGATTGGAAGGAGAGCCTAGCAGGGAAGACATTGGAGCAGCAATGGCAGGTGTTTCTGGGGATAATTCGGGAAGCTCAGCAGAAATTCGTCCCAAGGAAGAAGAAAGGGGAGGATTAAGGAGACAGTGAGGCAACCATGGAAATCAGGACAGCATAAAAAAAAAGGAAAAGGCATATAACGTGGTGAAGATCAGTGGAAGCCAGAGAATTGGGAAGCCTTGAGAAACCAGCAGAGTGCAATTAAGAACACAACTGGTGGTGGACAGTGGTAATATGATGAAATATGAGAGTAAACAAGCTAATAATATAAAGGACAGCTGCAAGATTTTTGTAGATATAAATAAGGTAAGAGAGAGGCAAGATTGGACATTGGACCACAGGAAAATGAGGTTGGAGAAGTAGAAATGGGGAACAAAGAAATGGTGGAGGAACAGGAATGGGTATTTTGCATCAGTTTTCAGGATGGAAGACACCAGCAGCACACTAGAACTTCAACAGAATCAGGGGGCAGAGGTGAGTGTAGTGGCCATCACTAAGGAGAAGGTGCTGGGGAAGCTGAAAGGTCTGAAGTGGATAAATTACCTGGACCAGATGGACTGCACCCCAGAATTCTGAAGGATTAGTTGAGGAGATTGTAGAGGCATTGGTGGTGATCTTTCAGGAATCACTGGAGTAAGGGAGGGCACCAGATGACTGGAAGATGACTAATTTAATACCCCTGTTTAAGAAAGTGTGGAGGCAGAAGAAAGGAACCTACAGGCCCTTAACCTGACCTCAGTCGTCAGTGAGATTTTGGAGTTCATTATTAAAGTTGAAATCGCAGACTACTTGGAAGTGCATGGTAAAATTGGGCTGAGTCAGCAGGGTTTCATCAACAACATGCCTGACAAACCTGTTAGAATTCTTTATGGAGGTAACAAGCAAGTTATACAAAGGAGAGCCAGTGGATATCACCTGTTGGGTTTCCAGAAGGCCTATGACAAGATGCCACACAGGAAGCTGCTAAATAAGAGCCCATGGTATAAGGGACAAGGTAGTGGCATGGATAGAGGATTGGCTGACTGGTAGAAGGCAGACAGTAGGAATAAAGAGGTCTTTTTCACGATAGCAGCCGTTGACTAGAGGAGTTCTGCAGGGGTCAGTGTTAGGACCGCAACTGTTCATAGTATATAGTAATCATCTGGACAAAAGGAAATGAGGGCAGTATTGCTAAGTTTGCAGGTAACACAAAGATAGGTAAAGGGGCAGGGAGTTATGAGGAAGTGGGGAGGCTGCAGAAGGACTTGGACAGGATTGGACAATGGGCAAACAAGTGGCAGATGGAATATGATGTGGGAAAGTGTGAGGTTACACACTTTGGTACAAAGAACAGAGGCATCAGTAGTTTTGTAAACAAGGAAAGCCTTCAGAAATCTGGAGCACAAAGGGAGTTGGGAGTCCTAGATCAGAATTATCTTAAGGTTGACATGCAAGTTCGATCAGCAGATAAGAAGGCAAATTCAACGTTAGCATTCATTTCAAGAAGTCTAGAATACAACAGCAGAGATGTATTGCTGAGGCTCTATAAAGCTCCAGTCAGACTGCATTTGGAATATTGTGAGTAGTTTTGAGCCCCTTATCCAAGGAAGGATGTGCCAGTATTAGACTAGGTCCAGAGGAGTTTAGAAGAATGATCCAAGGGATGAAGGGCTTGTCATATGAGGAGCAGTTAAGGACTCAGGGTCTGTACTCAATGGAATTTAGAAGGATGAGGAGGGAATCTGATTGAAACTTACAGAACACTGAGAGGCCTGGATAGAGTGGACGTGGGGCAGATGTTTCCACTAGTAGGAGAGACTAGGACCTGAGGACACAGCCTTAGGGTGAAGGGACGGCCCTTTAGAACTGAGACAAGGAGGAATTTCTTCAGGAGGAGGGTGGTGAATCTCTGGCCTTGGAGGCCAAATCATTGAGTGCATTTAAGACAGAGACAGATAGGGTCTTCGTTAGTGAGGGAATCAAGGGTAATGGGGAGAAAGCAGAAGAATGGAGTTGAGAAACATATTGGCATGATTGAATGGTGGAGCAGACTCAACGGGCCGAATGGCCTAATTCTGCACCAATATCTAATGGTCTTAGGTTGCTGTTCTCCTGGATACCAGTGAGAAACTAGCCAGTGTGAATGCCCACTTTGATAGGCAAAACTATTACCTGCAATGCTTGCTCTAAAGCTGCAGGGCTGCTGCAACATTCTGTGACCAGTAACCTCAGAGGCCAGGTAGCCGGAAAGAAAACTAGAGGGGAAGTTATTAACCTAGCAGCTGCAGTTCGCTGGCATCGTCTCTGGGTATCCGTGTCAGTCAGCATTCCCCAACATCTCAGGGTACCATCCATGGGCAGCCTGCTTTCCTCTGTCTACACAGACAGGCATCAGGAATGCAGCAGCCTGAATACATCATCAAGGTCCATCTCGGACTAACCTACAACACACTTCAGCACTTCAAAATGCAACTGACACCTTATATTGCAAAACTGATGCCAGGCCACTTTGCCCACAAGGACAGGTGCCATCTCATGCTACAAAACAGGCTGCATCTCAGGACTCTTGAGTTTGCTGGCTTAGCGCTCAATTGCTTTGCACTTTCTTGGACACTCACAGCATCTCGGCCTTGCCTTGTTTTGTTTTCTATTGCAGATAGAAAGCCAGGCAGCTTGCCATATTTAATAAAAACCAAAAATAACTGCAGATGCTGTAAATTAGGAACAAACACAACTTCTGTTTTTGTTCTTCAGCTTGCCATATTTGCCAGCAGTGAACAGTCAGGACAGTGGGAATGTTGACGAGTGGCATGCTGCTACATTAACGTCACACCTTCGGCATGTGGCAGCAGTTTGAATGACAAACACACTACACATGCTCCAACTAAGATGTCTGAAAGTCTAACCGGAGCAATCCTTGGTCTGTTAAGGGAAACTATGGTCAGTCAGGGGACTGGTCCATCCTCAGCCGTGAAAGGTGGTGAGCTGTGCCAAATGAGTGAGTAGGAAGTACAGAGGGCAGGAAGGGTTAGTCGTTTGAGTAGATGACGTGGGTGGGAAGATTGAGGGAAGATGCTACATGCAATAGTGAAGGTGTTAGAGCATGGGCCTTGGTGGGAGCTGGGTGCAATCACAGAGATAGAATGAATTGTGAGATAGCAGAGAGAGGATAGCGGCACTTACCCTGGCAGAGCGCAGAGATCTTCCTGGAGCATTACTGCACAATATAGACACCACACTGTTTCAGTAGCAGTGTGGCAGTGTATTAACTGTTGTGCAGCTACGGTTGAAACATGGTGCCCACCTTAAGTTCCTGACACAGGTAAGTATTTCCACAGCTGCTGAGCATGAGATTGCACAAGAGCAGTGCTGTGGAGGTAGTGTGTAGACTTAATGAGGTGAGCAGCACGAAATTACATGGGAAATGCCGCTCATCCTCAGGAAGGAAAGCTACCCGTGAAACTCCCTGAAATTCACACGTTTTGGGAAAATTCAAGCCTTTAACCTCTATTTCTGACTCTCCACAAATTCCAGGAGTTGGGCTACAATGGAGAAGCAGAAGTGTGTGTTTTCATATTAAGTAAAAGGCCAGCTTAATTTACAATGTTTGTGAAACAATGGAATACAAATGGGAGTTTCTCATCATACACACAGTGTTTAATTTTGCTTGTTGTGGAACAAAGCAGTTTATTCACATAACTGCAGACTGTCTTAGCTGGTGTGAATACAGCCTCCCTGAGAAGTTTTTCTGTCTGTATGTCAGGAAAATTCGATACATAATAGAGAGTTTCACTGTGATATTCCCACATGCCAATGTCAGTAGCAGGGAGAGTCACCTATTACAAGAAGCAAGCCATCAAACCACTTAAGTATGAACTTGAGTAAATCACCACTGCAAACCACCAAAGTTATAACGTTTTCCAAAACCAGTTTCTGAGACTTAGAACTGTCATCGCAACCCAATTCTCTCCAGCTACCACCCATTCTGCCTCTGTGAAATGCCTCAGGATATTTTGGGAATTATTAACTGGGACTTGGTTTGGAAAAGCTAAGCACAGGGTAAGCACCACATTTCTGTGACAACAGCATCTTGAGCCTGGGCCATTTTAACCACTGGACCTGGTACACGCCCATCAACTGATTAAAATCATGTGGCCCAGGGCTGCATGGTAAGTGACGGTTAAGAAGTTTCAGCAGGGTCACTTAAAATGTAGAGATGGCAGATTTCAGGTGTGACATGGCGTGTGGGCCAGCAAAGGTTTCACTTAAAAGCATCGAGCAAACATTTCATTCAGCAAGGTACTCCCCTCAAAACAAATGGTTAAAAAAAAATTGAATTTCTAACGGTCTAGCAGGACACTATTTCACATTCATGTGAGAAGCTACATTCTACATTAAATGGAATTCTCAACCACTTTCAAAACACCAGTGTAAAAAAATCCCCAAGAAATGGATGACGGTCTGTTTTAGTTGTTCAAAAACCTAGTGCTACCTTTCTGAAGCATCTGTCCCAACGTCTGCTGAAAGTCAATGAGTATGAGAATTGTTACTTTACAGTGTACTTACTTTTTCTAATTAACGGCATTCTTTCCCTGTCGTTTAGCAAATGATCTGTTGGGATAATATGGTGAAGAGAAGCATCAATTAACAAAAAGCCTGAAATATTAAATAGGCACCGATAAAATCACACTGGACTCTCAATAGGATTGTGTTTAAGGTGAATATTGGCCACAATGTCTGCCACCATCAAATGAAGCCAGCTTGAGAGTTGAGCCAAATTCCTGGCATTGGGCCTTCACTGACATGCTGCTGGCTCCTATGGGAGATAATCAGGTAACAAGATAAGAAAACACATGATTTAGAGCCAAATGGTATCTCATGGACTGGAAATAAGAGCACAGAGGAAAGCTGGAGCAGGAGTAGTCCATATTTGAGCTGCTCCTGCATTCAATACAATCACGGCTGATCTATCAGCTCAACTCCAGGTTCCTAAATTATCCCTAAATCTCTGAATTTCCTCAGAGTCAAAAATCTGTTGTTTTCACTCCTGAATATGTTCAACAACTGAGCATTCATAAATAGTTACAGAATACCAAACATTCACACCCATCTGACTGAATAATCCTTTTCCCAGTTCTTTCCCTTATCCTTTTCCCAGTTCTAAATGGGTGGCCTGTTAGGCTGAGACCCCTGACTCTCCATCTGGGGGAGGCAGCCTCTAAGCATTTAGGCTTTGAAACCCAAGAAGAATTTTATTTTTTTAAAGTTCATTTACACAATGAGGGCATCACTGGCCAGGCCAGCACTTATTGCCCAGGCAGCAGTCCATAGTCAGCCATGTTGCTGTGGGTCTGGAGTCACATGTAGGCCAGACCAGGTAGGGATGGCATTTTCCTTTCCTAAAGGCCATTAGAATTGCAATATAGATTTCAATGAGTTTGTCACTTCTCATTCTTCTAAATTTGAGCAAGTATAGGTCATTCTACATTATTTCTCCTGATAGGACTGTCCTCCAATCCCAGGAATTAGTCTCGTCAACCTTTGTTGGCCCCACTTCTGAAGCAAATGTATGGTACATTGGAGAAGGAGACCAAAGTGAGGACAGTCCTCAAGTTATAACTCCAACGAAAGTCCTAAATAATTTAAGCAAGATCTACTTTGATGGTCAAAGTGCCTTATATATCCATTTTCCACCCTAATTACTTCTTTACCTGTAAGTGAGTAGAGGGGGCTTCTGTCACACAGACAGAAGGCCAGAATATTTTTTGGAAGCTTACTGAGAGAATCCCTGACCCTCCTAGGATGTATCCTGAAAGCAAAATCTTGCATGGTGGGAAAACTGCACCCCTCCCCACCTACCCCCCAACATACAACAAGCCCCACCACCACCTCCATTTATCCAACTCTGCCAATACGTTTCAACACACAATGTTTCTAATGGCACGGTCAAACCATGGCTTGGTACAGAGGGATACATCAGGGTCCAATAACCAAGGGCAAATGGCTCTAGGCAGCCCACTGTGTTCTGGTCAAAGCTGCTCTGCTCAAGCAGGGAACCAGAGACTAGGCCAGGAGTGGTACTGGGTAATGCGATTCCTGTCCCTGACCTGGATTCCAACTATAAATCCAATGATGGTTATTCTAACTGTTCTGTAATTAGCAGGAATGCCTTGTACCTTCACTCCCAAGTGGGCATATAAGATGCCAATGTGCTGTACACGCAATGAAGAGCATTGTTTTTAAATGTAGTCAATGTAGCTCTAATGGAGGAAATGTAGCAGCCAATTTTAGTACAGCAAGCTCATAAAAATAGCAATATCAGTTGGTTGAAGGACAAAAATTGGCCAGAAGACAGAAGAGAACTTCCTGTTCTTCTTCACATTAGCGTCACAAGACATTTTATATCCACCTGAGAGGGTAACCATGTGAAAGACAGTCCCCCAGCAGTGCAATGTTTAAGGGGAAAATGGTGGCATAATGGTAATGTGATTGGACCAGTAATCGAGGGGTCAAGACTAATGCTGTGGGGATGCAGGCCCAATTCCAGAGCAGCAGTTGGTGGAATTTAAATTGAATCAATAATCCTGGAATAGAAAGCTAGTCTTTGTAATGGTAACCGTGAAACAATCATCAAATGTTATAAAAACCCATGTGGCCCAGGGCCATAAGAAACTATAGACAGTTGTAAACATAGCCCAGTCCATCACGCAAACCAACCTTCCATCCATTGACTCCATCGACATTTCTCGCTGTCTCGGGAAGGCAGGCAACATTATCAAAGACCCTTCCTACCCCACTTAAAATCTCTTCCAAACTCTTCCATGGGGAAGATACAAAAGCTTAACAATCGTACCAACAGATTCAAGAACAGCTTCTTCCCCACTGTTATTAGACTTCTGAATGGACCTATCAATCTTAAATTTTGATCTTGCTATTTGTGCATCTTCTCTGCAGCTGGAACATTGTATTCCTCGCTGTGTTCTATTACCCTAATGCACTTTGTATGGTATGATCTGCCTGTACAGCACGCAAAATAAAGCTTTCACTGTACCTAGGTACATGTGACAATAAATCAAATCAAATCAAGTCAAATAATCCCTTTTAGGGGAGGAAATCTCCTGTGATTTCCCGGTCTGGCTTCAGAATCCAGACCCACTGCAATATGTTTGCTTCCCCGGGTCAAATGAAAAACAAAATCTCCTTCAGTCCTGCATTAGAAGTGTTAGGTCAGTTTTATCGGCTCAAGTCTTCTGATGTGGGCATTGAACCCTTTGCCTCGGACACAGAGGGAAATGGTGCTACTTTGGAAGAGGGAGCAGTATGGTGAAATCAATGATGATGCAGTGAAGCCTTCATTCTCTGCCTACCTTGAAGAACTCTGTATGCTGTACCTAAAATTAATATTAACTGGTTTTACAGTTTGCACCATTTTTCAAAACTGTTGCAAGCAATAAATGGCTAAACAAGTTTCAAATGCATTTTAAAATAATCAGGTTTCTACTTGGAAAAGCAAATGGTAGAGAATGTAAGAAATAAGGGTAGATTTGGGCCACTCAGCCCCACAAGCCTGTTCCACCATTCAATAAGATCTTGGCTGATCTGAATGCAGCCTCAATTCCACTTTCCTACCTGTTGCACAGACAATAATTCCAAAGATTTAAGATCCTCTAAGAGAAGGAATTCCTTTTTATCCCCATCTTAAGTGAGGCAACCCCCTGTTCTGTAACCCTAGATCTAGATCTTCCCACCAAGGGAAATGTCATCTCAGTGCTTAACTTAATAAAGCCCCAGAAGAATCTCACATGTTTCAGCATGATCATCTCTCATTCTTCTATGCTCCATTGATATGTACAGACCACCTGTTCTAACTGCAAAGTCAACTGGGAAATCCTGTAATGTAATACAAATCATTGCCAAAGTTTGACCTAATTTGAGGCCATTGGACACTTTACAGTTGAATAAAGTGCCTATCCACCCTGCGATGGAATCTTGGCAGATATAGAGAACCCAAGCCGTTTGCTTAGACTTAGTACAGTTAGCAAAGAAAAAGTTAGTAAAGCAAGTAATGCAGATGAACAGGCTTACTGACCTACTGGAAGACAATCTCTCCAGCTATATACATCATATATTTGCATTTTCAAGAAAATGAATAGCACAGCATCACAATATTTACTAACATTTAAATGCAGACCCCTACATTTTTTTAACAGATGGTAGCCATGATGTGGAGGAGCCGGTGTTGGACTGGGGTGGACAAAGTCAGAAGTCACACGACACCAGGTTATAGTCCAACAGGTTTATTTGAAAACACAAGCTTTCAGAGCGCCACTTCTTTGTCAGGTGAAGAGACTTCAACAGCTTGTGATTTCAAATAAACCTGTTGGACTATAACCTGGTGTCGTGTGACTTCTGACATTCTTTTAACAGAAGCAGAGCTGCCATGGACACAAATCCATCTTCAGTATCAATTCAAACACTAAGCATTAATAGAATAATCATTTTGTAGTATCTGTAGTGAGAAAACAGAGTTAATGTTTCAAGTCCTGTGACCCGTCTGCAGACCCTTGTTTGAAACATTAACTCATTTTTCTCTCCACAGATGCTGCCAGACATGCTGGGTCTGTCCAGCATTTTCTGTTTTGGCTTGTTTCAGATCTCCAGCATCTGCAGTTCTTTGTTTTACAATATATTGATGGTGCCATTCACTGATAGAGCTTGCATCTTTGAGTCAAAGATAATGGGTCCAAATCCTACTCCAGGGCAGTACTGAGGGATTGCACTGTTGAAGGTGTTACCTTTCAGAGGAGATAAACAAAGATTTTGTCTTCCTTTCAAATGGAAGCAAAATATTCCATGGCTTGATAAAACAACAGGGAAGTTTATCCCAGCCAACATTTTTCTTTAAATTACCTAAAACAGATTATCTGATCATTATTACATTGTTGACTGTGGAGAATTGCTGTGCACAAATTGGGCACCATGTTTTTTTTTGCCTGACAACAACTTCACTGTATCTGTGGAGATCTTGTGATGCAGTGGGTATTGGCCCCGCAACCGGGCAGATGCTCAAGTCCCACCTCAGAATCTGATATTCACAGAAGGTGTGTCATATCACAGCCAAACAGATTAATTATCCACTGGTAAACCTTCTGATGTGACTACAGCAGTTGGTATGAGTTGGGGGAGTTTTCTGGTCAAGCAGTATAGCTGCAGTGCTTGAGTAGGGGTTTAAAAACTCTACACACAGTGCAGTCTTACCGTGAGGCTCATATCACGCTGAGGGACTATGACACACACTGTCTTTAATGGATTCGAGGTTGTGAAAGGCAAAAGCTGGTTATAACTCAGCTGTTGAACCTCAGTGGATTCCAAGGTCCAGGACTACATGTTGAGGGATGCACTAAAGCTTGGGGCAGCTGCCACCAAGGCGCAGTGGGGAAAGACTACTGTTTGATATCTTTCTGCCAAAGTTAAATGGGGGTCCGTTCAGTTATCGGACTCTCCCAGCACCTCAACTATATGTAAATATTAGTATTGGATATATAAGAGAGGTCTTTGGTTTGTTGGGGTAGAGTCAAAGTCCAATATTTTGTTTGTTTACTTGATATGCAACTGTACAGAAATGAACTGCATTTATGACAATGTATATATACAAAGAGATTTTTTATGAATAAAATATATTTATTGAAATTAAAAAAAGTATGAATCAGATCTACAGATTAACATCTCAACCAAAAGATGACACTTCCAGCAGTGCAACACTTCTTCAGAACTACCATGGATGTATGAACCTATAATCTTCTGACCTAGAGACAAGACCATAAAGCTACAACTGACATCCCAGTAGTGTTATTGATATTTCAGATAGAGTTTTTGAATCCATACCTAGTGTTAATATATCATGTGTCTTCCTATTCCTTTTCTTGCCTATGAAGTTTCTTCTCAACACATGTCATTGGCTAGCACCCAGAATAGCACCAAAACACCGTAAGATGCAGGAGCAGAAATAGGTCATTCAACTCAGAGTTTGCTCCACCATTCAATGAGATCATGGCTGATCGGATAATCCTTAACTCTACTTTCCTGTCTGTTCCTCATAAAGCTTGATTCCCTTACTGATTAAAAATCTGTTTATCTCAGCCTTGAATATACTTGGTGACCAAACATCAACAGCCTTCCACAGTAAATAATTCCACATATTCAGATTTCTCTGAGAGAAGAACCTCAGCTGTGCCTTAAATATACAACCCTTTATTCTGAGATTATGCCCTCTGGTCCTAGACTCTGCAACAAGGAGAAACAACCTTGAAGTTCAAAAGCAAAGTCAGTTAGCACTTGCTGATCCAGCCATGCACTAGGTGACTTGAAATGTAATTTCCACTGGGTCTCTGTGCAAACATTTTCTAGTCACCTAACACATAACGAGAGAACTGGATAGCGCATGCTGGCTGCTTCCAGCTTTCACCATGTATTTCCTGCACTATCTGGTGTCTGCTCTGGGACAATATCTCTACCCAACATCCTGTGCAATGTGCTATTCCATAAAAATTTAGTTTAGAATTTTGGTCAAACTTCAGGTATCATACCATAATAACAATACATGTGATTATGTACTCCTTTTTAAAAATGAAACATTTCCAAGTGTTACACAGGAGTGCTAGCAAACAAAATAATAGCTAATCTTAGCCACTTTTTTTTCTAAAAAAGGGGAAAAATGTTACTCTACTATATTTCCTGATCTTGAGATAATCTTAGGAAGCTGTTCAGATGTCAAAGAGTACCCAAGAAGTAGGTCATGGCATTGAAGTATGGCTGGCACAGAAACAGAGGACTGAATGGCCTCTTTCTGTGTTGTAACCATTCTATTATTCAAGGATCAGCAATGATCTCAGTGAATAGAGCTGCAGGCTGAAAATGTAGGAGCTGTCTCAAGGGGCCAAATGGCCACAGTTTTTTTTTTATTAATTCATGTGATGTGGGTGTTGCTGGCTAGGCCTGCGTTTATAGACCATCCCTAATTGCCCAGAGGTCAGTTTAGAGTCAGCCACATTGCTGTGGGTCTGGAGTCACATGTAAGCTAGACAAGGTAAGGATGGCAGTTTCCCTCCCTAAAGGGCACTAGTGAACCAGATGGGTTTTCCAGCAATTGATAATTGATTCGTGGTCATTATTAGATGCTTAATTCCATATTTTTTGTTGAATTCCACCATCCGCTGTGATAGGATTTGAACCCTGGTCCTCAGGACATTACCTGGCTCTCTGGATTAACAGTACTACAATAATGCCACTAGGCCAGTCCAACAATAGTAAAACTTGTTCCTGTGAACTGCTGCAGCCTTAGCAACAGTAATAATTAACCCAGTTACATGCATTTGTAAAAAGTCTAGATCCAACTGGACCAATTCCGTACAGCAATTAAAAAAAAACAGAGAAGTAGTTTCAAAGGAACAGATAAAGTCAGCAGGCAACTAAACATTACCCAGTGTGCAAGAGATCCTGAAGGTTTACAAGTAGGAAAATATCAGCTTGTAGTACTTACCGAGTTTTTTTCTCATTCAGTGATGGGATGTTGATGTCACTATGTCAGTATTCATTTGTTGCCCTTCATAAGGTGGTGGGAAGCTGCCCTTTTGAATCACTGCAGTCCAGGATGGTGGAGTCTTGACAGAGGGTCAACCGGGTGACCATTTCAAGAACTCAAGACTTTCTTTTACATTTTACAGGAGTTTTTTTTTAAAGAACGTTGTGACAACTAATGGCAAAGCAAAAGTTTGCCAACATTGCATTCCCTTTAGTGAGTAATGGGTTATGATCATTTTTCTAGTCCAAAGCTCAATGTGAGCAGACTTGGTGCCTGTTATTTTAGATTTCAATGATGGAGCTACAGGTACTTCTGTTTTTCGGTGCATTTAAAAAATGTTGATTCCAAAATATTGGAGCTGCCTGCAGCGCTCCACCCTCAGTCCAGAAATATGTTTTGATTCTACAATATTGTCCACAGGGTGAAACTTTGTGCTGACGTTGTGCAGTTCCGGGCAATAAACCGGACTGCACAAAGGATAAAGACCTAATTTTATGGTACAAAGGGTAAGGACTTACTTTAAACCCATTCAAGGCTGGAGCGGGCTACTGGGGTCTGATTGAAATTACAAGAAGGAAAAGTTTGAATATTTGCAAACTGTACAAAACTTTCTTTAATTTACCTCGTCACTTCCAGACTCCAGCTCAGTACCGTCGGTGTCAATTTTCCTCCCTCAATAAAGAACAATCTGCTGTCCGGCCTCCTTCTTGTGATATTCTCCTTTAGGTAAACAAATCAAAATTTCCCCCACAAACACTGAAAAGTCGAAAGCGGGACGGATGTGGCAAGATATCCTAGCCTCTTTTCCAGGCGAGCAGCCGGGGAAGGAGAGAGAGAGAAACAGACAGTATAAATGAGGACCAGATGGTATTGCAATTCCCCATGCATGCATTCAGATCCTCCTATTCCATTTCACTTCCCCCCCCCCCCCCCCAACCCCCTTCTGTACACTCTGTCCCTCCCTCTGAAAATTACAAATTCCATCTATGGTTTGCACATTACGTCTGACCAGGAGACAGGACTAAGTGGGAACGCGGCTCTCAAACAGAGTACTCAAACCACTTGTTTAAATTTCGTTTTGCACATTTTCCTAAATATTGACAGCTCGGAGGACACAACTTTTCAGATTCTTGCCATGAATTGTTCTTGAACTCTGAAGGAGGATTTTCCATTTATGTAGCGCCATTCACAACTTCATGACTTCCCAATTTCTTTTACAGTCAATGAAGTCTTTTTGCCAAGCACAGCCCTGGAGGTGTAGAAGGTGACAGCATTGTGGTATTATCGCTGGACTGTTTATTCAGAGACCCAGGTAATGTTCTGAAGATCCAGGTTCAAATCCTGCCGTGGCAGATAGTGGAATTTGAATCCAATAAAAATCTGAAATTAATAGAGACCATGAAACCATTGCTGAGTGTTGGTGAAAATCCCACCTGGTTCACTAATGCTCTTTAGGGTCTGGCCTAATGTGATTCCAAATCCACAACAGTGTGGTTGACTCTCAATCCCCCTTTGGGTAATCAGGGATGGGTGATAAGTGCTGGCCTTGCCGGTGATGCCTTTATCCCATGAATGAAGAGCACAGCAGCAGCCAGAAAGCTCCCACACACAGTAATGTGAGCATACTCCAGCCCCTGACTTTGAGGGATAAAAATTGGCAGGAGGTTCTGTGGGGAAGAACTCAAATGAACCAGGAGCAGGAGGCGATCACTCAGCCCTTTGAGTCTGCTCCAGCATTCAACAAGATCATAGCTGATCTGATTTTTAACCTCAACTCTACATTCTTGTGTACCCTGATAATCCTTCATCTCCTTGGTCATCGAAAATCTATCTACCTCAGCATTAAAAATATTTAAAGATTCTGCATTCTCTGCCTTTTGAGTTAGGGAATTCCAAGGGCTGACAACCCTGTCAGGAAACTTTTAGAGGGATATGGACAAAACACCAGCAAATGGGACTGGTCCAGTTTAGGAAACCTGGTTGGCATGGCCGAGCTGAGCCAAACGGCCAGTTTCTGTGCAGTGTGACAATGACTGAGAGAAAGCTCCCCATTCTTCTTTGAAATAGTATCAGGTGGGATGTTTTACAACCACCTGAAGGGGCAGCTGGAACTGTAGTTCAGTGTCATCTGGAAGAACAACCAACACTCCCTCTGTATTCCACCGGAGTGAGAAACTCGATTTTGTGATCAAGAGTGGGACATGAAGCCACAAATGTCAGGGTCAGATGAGAGGGTGAGCCAGTGAGCCAAAACAGGGGAGATGGTAGCCTCGTGTTTATGGACTTGTAATGTGGGAGGTCCATGATTTCCAACCCCACCGATGGAATTGGTGGCATTTCAATTCAACGAATTAAAGCTGGGCTTGATAATGGCAGCCATGAATCTATCATCAATAATTGTATTCTTTATTTCAGTAGCATCTATACAAATTTGAAGGAAAGTTAAGTTTGAGTGCAGGAAAACAGAATATTTGCAAGCAGTTGACCCTGTAATTCACAGTAGGTTGGGAACAATCTTTTCTGTCTCCCCCTGTCTCCATGAGGCCTTCTTTTTGACAAAGATGCCCATTCCGCACAGGGGGGCTGCTTAGACCTCTCTGTTCGACATCTTCCCTCACTGTCGCCATATGCTGTAGTAGGCCCTGATTTACCTGGATTTTTCTAGGAAGTTGAGTTTGGGAGGTCCAAGCTAACCACCACAATTTAAACCACTGACGAAGGACTTCAGGCTAGCTTTGTACTTCAGTTTGACAAGGCTAGGACACACGTTTGGCGGAGTTGACAAAATTTGAGCAACAGTTTTCTTTTCACCTGATATGGTTTGTTTTCTTGGTGACATGGGGTTTCCCCTTGCCCAGCTTCACATTCTATCCAACAGTCCTGGATGTACAATCCCTCAGAGCTATTTAACAGCACCAAAAACATCCTTACCAGAGTAAAAGCTCCTTAGGGTCATCATAAGGGCTTTCTAAGTCAAAAATTGCCATATGAACATATGAACAAGAGTAGGCCATTCAGTCCTTTGAGCAATATGACTATGGCTGATATGATTTTATCCCAAACCTACATTCCTTCATGCCCCCAGTGATAATTTAAGTCTCTTGGTGATCAAGACTCTATCTATCTCTGCCTCAAAAGTATTTAAAGATTCTACATCCACTGCCTTTTAATGAAGGCAATTCCAAAGATTCACAATCCTCTCAAAGAAAAAGATGTTTCCTCAGCTATATTTTAAATGGATGTTCCTTATTTTTAAACTGTGACCACATAAACTATGACGCTGAGTCACATAAGAAAATATTAATCCAGATAACCAAAAGCAATATCAAAGGATTGAAAGAGCATCCTACAGAATGGAGAAGACCTAGAGATTTAGCAAAGTTTAGTGAGTGAATTTCAGAGGTTATAAAGATTGGCAGTTGAATATTTCATATGTGTACAAGGTTTGACAGGAATTTTGTTGGTTATGTAAGGTTCTTCGGTTTGACATAAATAATCATTCTTGAATTCAAATACGTTTTGTCAAGGGAAGGGAGACAAAAAAGATAACTATAAGCTGTTTAACATCTGTCATTGGGAAAATATTAAACAAATAAAATCACCATAGTCCTTTACTTGGAATAGAGAGAGAGAGACAACTGGTTTAACTTGACAGTCACAACACTTCAGGCAAGGGAAGTGACTGAGAAGGAGGGACCTTCATAATAACCTAAGCTGATATGGAAACTGAACCCGCACTATGGTCAGCACTGTATCACAAACAATTCATTCAGCCAACGGTACTAACCAATTGCCATGGGAAAACATTAGAATCTAATATGTAGATGTAACAGTAGATCATTTACAAATAGATAATATAATTAAGGAGATTTAGTGGTTTCATGAAGGAGCACCAAGCCTACAACTTTATTAGAATTCCTTGAGGAGGCAACAAGCAGGATAAATAAAGGGGAACCAATAGATGTAATATATTTGGATTTCTAAAAGGCATTCAATAAGGTACCACATATAAGACAGCTTAATGAGAACCAATGGCTTTTGGGGGTTGTATATTGGCATGGATAGAGGGTTGGCTAACTATTTGAAGACAGAGTCGGGATAAGGAATGCATATTCATGAAGGCAACCTGTAACTAATGGATTGCCACAGGGATCAGCGCTGGGACCACAATTATTTACAATATTTATGAATGACTTGGATGAGGGATGAGGGATGTGAATGTACTATCACCAAGTTTGTAGATAACACAAAAATTGGTGGGAAGGCAAATAGTGGGAATGACACAAAGAGTCTGCAAAGGGATATAGATAGGTTGAGTGAGTGGACAAAGACTTGGTAGATGGAATATAATGTGGGGAATTGTGACATTATGAACGCTGACAGGAAGAATACCAGAGAATAAAAAAGAAGAACTGAGTATTATTTAAATGGAAAAAATGCAGAAATCTGCAGCTCAGAGGGATTTGGACATCCTGTGCATGAGTCACAAAACATTAACATACAAGTTCAGTGGGTAATAGGGAAGGCAAATCGAATGTTGGCCTTTGTTTCAAAGGGAATGGAATGTAACAATTGGAAAATGTTGCTAAGACTATACGAGGTACTAGTTGCACTTAGAATAGTTTTGGTCCTCTTTTCTAAGGAAAGATATATAGTCTTGGAGTCAATCCAAAGAATATTCATTATATTGATTGCAGGTACGAAGAAATGTCCTTCTAAGGAGAGATTGAGTAGGTTAGTTCATTTGAGTTTAGAAGAATAGTTAGAAGAAACATATAAGCTTCTTAGGAGCTTGACAATGAGGGCGTGAAGAGGCTGTTTTCTCTTGTGGGAGAATCTATGATCACAGGGCATGATCTCAGAATAAGGAGTTAGCTCTATAAGATAGAGATGAGGGAGAATTTCTTCTCTCAGAGATTGGCGCATCTGTGAAATTCTTTACTCCAGAGAGATGATGAGCCTGCATCATTAAAAATATTCAGGACTGAGATATATGGATTTTTAATTAGTCAGGAAGTTAAGAGTATGGGGATGAAGCAGGAAAGTGGAGTTGGGCATTATCAGGTGATCTTATGGCTGACACACAAAGTGTCTCAAACCATGGTAATAAAGTGAAATGAATTATAATACCCACTTTCAATCAGAGTAAAGAATGTGACCTTCTTTGATTTTTTCATTATTGTTCTTCTTTACAAGTTATGACTTATTACAGATTTGTAAACACACATAGTCATTCATTAAAAGGAGCTGTTTTTGTTGATCATTGTGTTGTTTGTCTGAAACATAGACTCTTGGGGATCATTTGTTTGTACAAAAAAAAATGCAAAATACTGCAGATTTTGGAGATCTGAAATAATACCAGGACATGCTAGTTGGCTTACTGCTGATTCTTTTTGTTGCTAAATGTTATCCATGTTCTGAAGACTTTCAGGATGAGTAAATTGACCATTTTGTTGGTTTTACTTACATTGCAGTTGGTAACGCCTGTGGTGCAGTGGGTAACGTCCTGGCCTCTGAGTTCAAGACTCACCGCACACCTACCAGCCACCGAAGATGTCTTGGAGCACAGGGGAAAGATACCACTACCTGGAGAGGTGACATTGTCACAGGCCTTCCATCTACAAACCTGCTGCTTAAAAAAGATGCATCTGAACTACCTGAGTTTAATGTCATCACTTTGCTGAAAAAAAATTAATGAGACGAGAAAACTGTATCTTGAGTAATCATTGTGTTTTAGACCCCTGCATTTTGCAAAGTTACACTCAGTTCATTCCTCAGTAAATGATTCTTCTATCTTAATCCTATTTTACCAGGCCTTTCACCAGCAAAACAGACCGTCTGCTATTAAACAGGTTCACGCGCCAACCTACAATGAATTTCCTTGGTAATGACCAATC